TAACAACTCGATTTTTTTATGGTTCCAACTTCCAACAACTCGAGTTGTTGTGACTTGTGAGAGCTTCAGTTATGGATCTTTCATAATTTACTAACACAAATTGCTCTTCAATTCAAATGAATAAGTTGATTCATGTGTTTAGGTTAAGTTTTACGTTATTTGTTTCGTAAGTTGGAAGATTTATGTGATCGAATGAAATATTATCCTATCTTAGTTAATATTATGACAATTCAAAAATAACTTTTACAACATAAAGCACTTAAAGATTTCACATGTTGTCAAGATTGACAGTTTTTTACAAACAAAATTTTAATTAATGATCTATTTATGTAGCTACTCTCACTTCTTTTAATATTTTCCTTTTTGCTTTTATCCAATAATTTTTTTGTATATATATATAGCATCAATAGACTAAGATTTAAAGAGTGACATATATCGCGATTATTTAAACGCAAAATTATACAATTAAATCTTATAAGTAATTTTAAATTTGTTTATTAAACTTAATAAACATATATATCTCATTGAAAATTTAAAATAAACACACACATAAGTATTAATATTTTTATTCTTAAACAAAATAATCCGTTAATATTATTGCGTTGAGTGTTGAGAAGCTAGGGCAAACGGTTTGGAATTCTTACACAAAAAACAACACGGTAAAGTCAAAATCAAGTCAATTACACTTACTCCCAAATCGTTTGTGCTGGCTTCTTAGCGCATCCTTCACCATAGCTAGCAGAGTCTCTTAGAATTCAAAGACAACGGCGATAAAGCTCAAGATGATGATACACCCAGCCAAGATGAAACACTTGATCCAGGCAGCACGTCCACTCTCTAGCAGATTTACGATCACGATGGCCCCAAAGGAAGCTGTAATGGTGGAGAAAACGAGTTTAAAGCGTTCCGCTAGCTCGAGGTCAATCAGTGACGAGACATAGGCCAGCCTGTGCCACTGCTTCCCTCCTCATTGGAGTTCCTCCCTTATTTAGTGCTCAACTGACAAGCCAACGAAATCGCGAACAACTTCGCATTATCCTGATTGGCGACAGAGTCTGCTTCGTTCTCTTTGACAGAGGAGGTCGACCATCCAGTTTCAGCAACAATCAGAGGGATGCTGTTGTAGCCTCTAACCTCTATGGAAGTAAGTAATCATTGCATCAATCATCATGTCAAAGAGGTTCTCGTACTCCGCTCCCGTTGCGAAATATTTCAGGAAAAGGAATTCTTATGCAAGCTAATCCTTGCTTATGGTTATCAGAGTCACGCAATTGAGGTTCAATTGAAAAGAACTCAATTGAACTTGGAAAATTGAAAACAAAAACGAACCAAAGCTACAACTTCACACTAGGGAAGAGGCTCGATTGGGTTTAGTAGAAGCTCGACCACGATTGATGTGATTTTCAATCGATACGAAGCACAAATCGAAGCTGGAACACAACCAACAACGAATGTTTGGTGACAAGGTCACGTTTCTCTAATTCAACTCTCAGCTTTCTTCGATTGTCCCTCAGTCGTCTCGAATAAGCCCTCAAAGTAGGGAGCTCTGACTGTCTCCAGACTTAGCCAAAATCAGGCAATTTTCCAGTTTTTTCATAGCAACTTAAGTTGTTGATTATTAGATAATTAATAGCGCAAGTGTCCTTAAAAATATTTTCCAGTTCAATATGATTTGATCCAAGCGTGGGTTTGTTCTGATGCGGTTCGGTACGAACCAACCTATTTCAGACCCCAATTTGCATCACTAAAATGCTCAAGCAACTTCATTGTTGCATACGGAAAAATAGTCACTAAATAAAAGAAAATTCCCAACACATACGGTATTGTTGACAATAATTTCTATCCTCTACACCTGATTTCATCATAAAACTCTTTGTTATTTGCACTACACAATAATTTTGTAAGATCAATATTTTTCCATAATATTTGTCCCATACACTCAATTCCACATACTAAATGTTTATGTAACACTTTCCATAACTAGATTTTATTATTAGACCAAAATTTATCGAAGATTTACGTAACACTATTTTATAATAGTTATAAACACTATAAATACATTGCCGTAACTAGATTTATTATTAAACCACACGTTACTATTGCATATGACTCACCGAATAAAAGAAATTTCCAACGAGTACTGTTCACAAGAGTTTCTATCCCTGAATTTTCCTTAAAGATTTAGACACTATGTAAAGTTTACGGACAAATAATCATTTTATATGTATTAACTTTAAAAAATAATATGTAGTTTTCCATAATGATTAAACACTATGTAAACTTTATGTAGAAATAGTTTAATTAAACCACCGGATGACATATGTTATTCGTAATAATTAAGACATTACGTGAACTCACATATATATCTTATTTAAATAATTTTGTGAATTATTTGACTCAACACTAAAGGACCTAGATGCTCCATTAATTAGAATTCAAAATTCTTTCCCTTTGCCGATTAGCCATCTAATTGATTTTTATTAACGATTTAAGCATTATAACGCCCTAGTATAATACTTATTGTGAATAGCTTAGTTTGGCCTGCGGTAGCTTTTACAAAAGTAGTTTCTGGCTGGAACTTTTAGATAAGGACTTTTCAAAAAAAGCAGTTTAGTATTTGGCTGTAAAACTATTAGAAGTGCTTTTTAATATGAGCGGTTGTGTAAAATGACTATAAAGGACTTATAAGATAAAATATGAATAAAAATTCTAAACAATAAAAAGTAGTCAAAATGGATCTTGTTAGATTTTTTATATTAAATAATATGATTTTTCCTAAAAAACAAAATAAAAATAAAATGATTTTATAATTATTTTATTTTTAAAATGATATATAATTTATTTTATTTTTAAAATGATATAAATTAAGTAAAATTATATTTTCTGAAATAAATTTAAAATATGGTAAGGATAATCTTGTATTTTCAAAACAGTTTTTCGCATAAGCTCCAAATCGAAGCCTCTGCTTTTATGTTATACAAAAACGCTTTCCCGCTTTTCAAAAGCTGAGCTTTTAGAGGTGTTTGGCGTTGCTTCAGCTTTTGAAACCAAAAAACACTTCTAAAAGCCGGGCCAAACATAGACAATGTCAATGAGTTGATCCCCATTGCATTTATAAAATCAAAACAATGAAGGCATATATAAATTAAAGGGTAATGTATATTTTTTATCCAAACCTTTTTTCAGATTCTTTTATATCATCTAAATATACTAAAATGCTAATAATTAGCCAAATTTTTCGTAATGCATCAAAATATTATCCATTTTTACATCATTATTAATAATTTTGTAACTATTTTCTTAGTTAAAATACTAAAATTTTGGAATGTTTACCTTCATGTGTCTCTTACAAGTAAGTATCAGGTTGCCAAGTCAATATTACTAACTAGATTGTGGCCCGGCCGATTGGCCGGGTAGGTTTTTATTTTCATTTTGAGAATTAATGTTTTAACTTTCAACTGGGAACTTCTTCAGTTACCACTCAATACCATTTTTTCATTGAAGTTATGACAAAATTATTATAGCATGACAATTTAATGTTAATATGTAGAGTCAAATCTTAGATTGGCTGAAAATTATTTTTTAATTTTAATTTTAGTTTTTAGATTTACCGCAATATAATTTTAGAATTTTTAAAAGAACATAAGGATGTGGACTTTCATGCACCCATGAATATTCTTTGTCTTTATTGCATTATAGCTATAACAACATGAATAATTATTAATGTTATTAGTCTTTATTCGTGATTATTTTGGCGAACTCATTAATATCCATGCACCATATGAGTAGTTTAAATAAGTAGGAGCCGATGCAACTCGTATTGAATGTGTGAAAATTGTATATGTATAATCAACAATACTTTGATTTAGGCGGTGATGCACTTCTTATTTAGTGCCACTACTAAATATTATTTTTTATTAATTGTAAATATTAATCAAATGTGATAAAATTATAGGGAATTCCTACCAAGGTTATGAAGTAAGATAATTTTTTTATTTTATTAAATTTCAAAGGTCGTATTACGTAAAATATAATTAGCATACGTAATGATTAAATATTGTATGCTTATCTAATTTAATTGTAACAAATAACCGTTAAAACACATATATTTTTTCATATACATTCCAAATCATTTTTTAGTTAGTATGGTCAAAATAGCTCACATCAATAAGTCGACAACCCGTCCACATTAGAGATGTCAATTTTGACTGATCCGTTCTACCCGACCCGTTTGACCTGTTTGAGGCGGGTTTGACCCACCTCGTAGGCGGGTTGGGGCAGGCCTGAGTACTTTTCTCGACCTGACCTGTCCTGACCCGCCCCATTTTCGACCTGTATTTTCCTAAATTATATGTAATTTTAGTTAAATTACTTATAATTTACTTTTATTACCTCATATTTTTGCTAAAATGAAGTTGTAAATATGCAAGAACCTCAAATTTTCGAATAATTTAACTATATTAATCATATTTTAGTTTTTTCTTCATTTTAATGAAAAAATTGAATATTTCAAATAATTTAACTATATTGTCTCTGGGCAGATATATAGAGACACCCACCCCCGTTTCCATTCTAAATCCAAATGACATGTACAATTAAGGTAACATAACACACATGTTTTTGCGTGTACAAAATAGAAAAGAAAATTCCAAAAGTAGAAAAGGAAGTGATGAAAATCAAGAGATGGGCCAAAACGCAGTGTGCCAGTTATTTTGGGGGAAAAACATGTAAAAGTACCCATCCGCCCCTCCGGTTTATGCGCTTTGGCGAGGAAAGGGTGAGGTGGCAAACCGGAAATATTGACATACGCTTATATGTATGTGTAGACAAAATTGCTAACTGAAAGTTAACATTTGGTTAAGTCTTTATATTTCGATAGATTTAAATAATATAAAAGAATCTGGAAGATGTTTGGTTAAAAATAGACATTACCCTAAATTAAAATAAGAAATGGTTGTCCAAAGGAAAAAAGAAAAAGAAAAATCCATTTGGGGACCCGAGCCACGTGGCATTCCAGTGACAAGGAAGAAGAGATGACGAGCTGAGGGAAAACAGAGAGGGTCACCGGCAGAGTGGTGAAGAAGAAGTTTATCCAACCGGCGGGAGCTGCGGGACTGAGCCAAAGCCACCTCTATCTACCTCGAACCAGTCACTCCTCGCAAATTTGTTATGAGATTGGCACTTATGGCGCTATCTCCTCCTCCTTCTTCGATTAGTTTTCTCCAATTTCCTTGTTCCTCCTCCTCTCCTCCTCCTCTACTACCACTCCCACCTTCCTCCTCTCCCCACCACCGCCGTCGCGCTTTCTCCACTCTTCAGTTCTGCTGCCCAACACCCATGAACCACACACGACGCCGCACACAGCACAGGCTTGCCGTTCTGGCTTCTCCAGTAGTCAAGCCCCAAGCTTCTTCCGCGACTAGAGAGCCCATGCTTCCTCCTTACAATGTGGTTATCACCGGTTCCTCCAAAGGTCTGTTTCCCTTTCCGCTATGTACCATCTCAGACTTCGGTTGTTGATTGAATCGTCTAGAATTCGTATTTGGGTTTCATTTGTTGTGCATATTTCTCTTGAGGGCTTCAGTTGATGCATCGTCCTTCATGGTGGGATACTGGGATTCATTTGTAGGGCGAGCTCAATTCAGGGTCAACTTTCCTTTTTATATACGATACTGAATTGTAGACTTGTCTGTAGTCTGGGGCCTATAACAGCCCTTGCATGATCTCCCTCTCTTCAATTTCATCTTATTGTCCTGTTGGCTTTATGCATCCCGTAATGTATGCAAATGGCGAGATACTGCAGGATATTATTGGTCATCATATGGGTATTATTCATTTTCCTCAGGCATTGGGTATGCACTAGCTAAAGGGTTTCTAGCAGCAGGTGACAATGTCATCATATGCTCAAGATCAGGTACGAATTTACTTGCCTGTTACATTTTCCAGGCATATAACCTGCTTGGCTGTGAATAGATGTCCAAAATGTTTAGTCTTTTTTGAGTATTGAATTCTGTAGATTAATGGAGTTCCAACTACTCTTTGTTATTAGAATTGTAGTGTGTTCAAGCTACTTGGATATATGTGATGATAGACTTATTCATGACACGGTGATTAGTCTCTTCCCACACATGACAAAGATAACGAGGTTGCAGTCTGGAAATGTTTATGTTATATACATGTCTGTGGGACCTATATTGCCTCCATTGTTCATTAGGATGACTCAGTCTCTCTGTATGCACAAGCACTCATGCCATCGTGTTAAAAAGATGTTCTGCAACCACAAGTCCTCGACTAATTGATCAAGTTGCGTTCTTTCTTGACTTGCCTTTTTTTTGGGTGGGATTTGCTACAGCTGAAAGGGTAGAATCAGCAGTCGAAAGCCTAAAAAATGAATTTGGAGAGCAGCATGTGTGGGTACCTCCTCCAATTCTCTTTTCCCAATTTATTCATTTCGTCATTTTTTATTGTTTATTTATTGCTTTTTCATCCTTTTCTACGTTCAGTGTTAATTGCTCGCGGGGTTTCAGTACACTTTGAATTGCTGGCTGAGAACCAATTTCCTCTGCACAGGGTACAACATGCGATGTTAGGGAAGGACAAGATGTCAAGAATCTAGTCGCATTTGCAAAGGAAAACCTCAAATATGTTGACATATGGGTATGGTGTTCTTTCAAGTTTCAAGTCCTGAACTTGCTACTGCTTTCTGGCTTCTGTGATTTACTCTTGTCAAAGTAAATGTTGCATTTCATTCTTTTCCGCCATCCTTTTGCACTTAAAGTGTAGAATGGAGCCTATCCCAACTCTTAAACTCGTTTTATCAGCGTAGGACATGCTGTGCTTAGTTTTGTTGTACAAACTCTCACATGAGCTATAGAATAATGCAGATCAATAATGCAGGATCAAATGCCTATAGCTATAAGCCCTTATCAGAATCATCAGATGAAGACCTTATGTAAGCATTTTATATGCCTTGTTTTACAAGTTTCTTTTTTCATTATAGCAATTTCTCTTCCAGGATGATCTGCATGAATTGTAATATATGGTGTTATTAAAGTCATTGAACTCCTCTGCAGAGAAGTTGTCACCACAAACACCCTTGGACTGATGATATGTTGTCGAGAGGTAAAGAATTATAATTTTTTTCTTTCTATGAAGATCCATTTCGAGGCCTATTCTCTTCTGACACTGTGTGTTGAAGGCAATTAAAATGATGCTGAACCAACCACGAGGGGGTCATATATTCAATATTGATGGAGCTGGTTCAGATGGAAGACCTACCCCTAGGTAACTTTTCCTTTTTCAGCCATTTCTTCCTTTCAGCGACTATTCCTGCACAGCCTGCTTCTTGAATCGAGGCGATCTTCTCAATTTCTGATAGCATCATTGTTGTTGGATGATGACTGCTTTTGCCATTTGACATGAACTGTCTACAATGTGTGGAGGCCATGCATTCATTATTTTTCATTTGAAGATACGTAGTTTGTTCCACTTAGAAAATAATTGCACAAGTTCAAATCCTGTAGGTCTTGGTTACCATGGGTGTGTATAATCTATATCACTTTGCATTAATGTGTTTACAGAAATGAGATCCATATGCCCAATAAGTACATGATAACATCTAACTGGTAATTCGCCCTTATATTGTAATGTTTTGACGACTCAGACTTCCTTGATTTATCATACACCAATCTACAGCATTTTTCTAATTGACTATTCTTTCCCTTCTCCTGCCACAGATTTGCAGCTTATGGGGCAACTAAGCGCAGTGTAGTGCATCTAACAAAGTCGTTGCAGGTATATGCTCAAGTATTCTTTGTCACTTTGCTATGCAATCGAAATTCCGCTGTCGTTGGTCCACAAACTACAGTTCAAACATATAGCGAACGAATGTTGCACTAGTCTCTCAAATTGCTTGTTCGACTCTACTATGTCATCAGTAGCACTTTTTTATCTTGATGGTAGGAGACAGTTAAAAGACTATATGTATATGGATTCCTTTTTCAACTAAACTCTGAATGCATGACACTTAGGCAGTGGGATTTTATTCAATATCAACCTATCAAGTCAATGTCATTAATAGTCTGATAAAAAGAAGTGCCAATTGTTAGTGTTGTGGTATATGATCCTCGATGAACCTCTCCCAATAACTCGAGTTATTGGGATCAACTGGTTCATGACATGGTATCAGAGCCTTCTGTGACCGAGAGGTCTTGTGTTCGATTCCCGATGACCCCCATTTGTTAAGCACATGGTATTCTTGTCTTCAGACCTGTGCAAACTTCAAGCCCTTGTGAGTGGCTTTCGTTTGAAGGGGCGTGTTAGTGTTGTGGTATATGATCCACGATGAACATCTCCCAACAACTGGAGTTATTGGGATCAACTGGTTTATGACACCAATGTCAATACTAGTCTGTGAAATTTGTTTTGACGCAGGCAGAGCTGCAGATGCAAGATGTTCGGAATGTTGTAGTACATAATCTTTCGGTATGTTACCTAACTTTTTCTTGGAATCAGTGCAAGCATGCAGAAGAACTCTGTTCTAGTTTTAGTATAATGATATTTAGCTTATACGTACTGCTAGAGAGAAACATGGGGAGTCCTTTGCTTCAGTAATGCTGCTGAAGTCATCATGAGGAGTTATATTCTCATATTCATATACCAATAAGCCACGATATTCAGTTTCTAGAGACCTACCCGTCGTTTTCACAATGTCTATTCCAACTGAAAGGAAAGAAGAGAGATATAACTTTACAAATTGCAGAATTAGAATGGAAAAGTTTGTAGTACGCTTTTCACCTGGACTTCTAGAGATATCTTCCTGTAGATCCCTTCCTTTCTAGTTTTGATGCCCCCTTCTCATATCATAATTTGTCCATGAAGCCGTTCTTATACCATTTTGCTATGTAACTTTGTGCAGCCTGGAATGGTTACAACGGACCTCCTAATGTCCGGGGCCACAACAAAGCAGGTCAAAATGATGATTATATTCATTTTGAGACCTTTCTCGGCGTGGCTCTCTCTAGGACTGATCCAAGTATGCTTTTGTTTGCAGGCAAAGTTCTTCATTAATGTTCTCGCAGAACCACCAGAAGTGGTGAGTCTTTCTTCACCATTCTAAAGTAACAAAGATATATGGTTGTGGTTGTAGATTTTCCTCTTCAGGAAATTAACATGTTTACAGGATGCCTCAAACCAAACTGTTCTACTAGAATGTCCTTTGGACTGGAAAATTTACATTTATGGAGCCAAGGCATTGCATTCTGAATTCCGGTTTAAAAATAACAACCCTGTGCTAGAGATCAGGATGAAAAAGGAAAGGAATTTCTTCCCTATTTTGCTGATAACAGGTCAATATATGTATGGTTGTACTGCAGGTTGCAGAGTATCTAGTTCCAAATATCAGATCAATCCCAACCAATGGATCCACGAGACCCACGTATATACGCTTTCTTACGGGCATAAAAGCATATTCGCAGATTTTCTCAGTTAAGAGGTTCTTCAAAAGTGTTAATTTTTAGACTTCCCCGTGCAGGCAAGTTAGTTACCTTTGATCTAATGAGACAACTTATTCGCCTTGTTCTCTTGTGTTCACAGAGATTTGCATTTGGTGCAAGAAGGAACAGACATGTGCTCGAAGATTGAACAGGAACCATCCCTGGCAGAAGCACAGCTCAGCTCACGACAACGTATGGTTGGCTCGGTCGATGATGATCACACAGCACGGATGCTTCCCACTTGCTGCCACATTTTGTGCTCCTATTTCCATGTTGTCTTTACCTCTCGCATAGCGTTCATTCATCAAAATGTTCTGTTATACTGAGAGAGTTGCGACGTGGTTGTAAGTATTGCCGTTTTAGAATGGTTAGTATGTATGGTATGCACAAGTGAAAAGGTGAAAATACAGTATGTATGGTAATTTCCCCCGGTTGCTGGTTTTTCTGGTTTGTCTTGAGGTGGGTGAGGGGCCCTTCCATTCCTGTTATGTTTTTTTGGTTATGGAGGCCCGTGACTTCCCTGACTTCTGATCTCTTGGCTGGCTTGCTTATTCCTACCCAGCCCAAGTTCCATTTCAAACTGGTAAGATGACCACATACTACCTTTAACAATAAACCAGTACAACCCGATTATGGTGCTCATAACGCTCCACACTTGTCGGATATTGTGTGGATAATCTGTAGCCGTTGGATGGATGTGGTGTCATTTTTGTAAATGAAATATCACTGCGTTGATGATCGTCTATGCACGATCTGACATATATATAGGACTCTATGAGCAAGTTGAGCATTTGCGTACTAATCCATGTTTGCTTCAGAACTTGAATGATGATTTATCACACTACATGGTCTCAACTTTTACAGTTAAACCTCACTTTCGCCAGCTCTGACTACCTCAAGTCAAGTATGATTCCTGCACATACATTGCAATTGCTGCTATTTATTACTCCTCCTGGACCATTATTAATACAGCAGCAGCACCAAGTATGATAATAACACCTTTATGTATGCGCTCCTCCCAATGCTTCCATGTGTTGTTTGATAATTGATAAAAAGACGGAAAAAATTCCAAGTTACACATGGTTTTAAAAAAAATTCTCAAAATACACAAGTTATGAAAATAATTCTCAATCTACGTTAGTTTGGGCCATCACCGCTGTCGACGAAGACAGTGATTGCATCACTGTTGTCGACGAAGACAGTGATTGCATCACCGCTGTCGACGAAGACAGTGATTGCATCACTGCAGTACACGGCCGCGGTGAAGGCCTGACCTGCGTCGAAACTTTAAACAAACGTAACTTTGTGCTCGGTTATCCGATCGTAGCGAAATTTTTTTTGACCGCATAATTTATCGAGATCTTGCAAGCCGCAAATTGCCGTAGGCGGTTTGGTCCCGCTCTTCGTCTCGAAAATATGTCGTTTGCTACTTCGAACGAGCCTTTTTTCGATTTCGTCAAACTTTGAGCAACCATAACTTTGTTCTCCACAATCCGAAAATCATGAATTTTTATTTTATTTCGCATAAATTTTTAAGGACTAAAATATTTAGTAGGAGAGAATTTTCAAAAAATGAATTATTTATGGATATAAGGGATTTTGGGAATAACTTTACCTTCCTTTTCAGGAATCCAAGTACATTCCGAAAATATGTCTATGATAAAAATTGTAGTCCTTAAAAAGTTATGCGAAATAAAAAAAAAAATCATGATTTTCGGATTGTGGAGCACAAAGTTATGGTCGTTCAAAGTTTGACGAAATCGAAAAAAGGCTCGTTCGGGGTAGCAAACGACATATTTTCGAGACGAAGGCGGGACCAAACCGCCTACGGTAATTTGCGGCTTGCAAGATCTCAAAAAATTATGCGAAATCAAAAAAAATTTCACTACGATCGGATAACCGAACACAAAGTTACGTTGGTTTAAAGTTTCGACGCAGGTCAGGCATTCACCGCGGCCGTGTACTGCAGTGATGCAATCACTGTCTTCGTCGACAGCGGTGATGCAATCATTGTCTTCGTCGACAGCGGTGATGAAATCACTGTCTTCGTCGACAACAGTGATGCAGTCACTGTCTTCGTCGACAGCGGTGATGACCCAAACTAACGTAGATTGTGAATTATTTTCATAACGTTTGTATTTTGAGAAATTTTTTTAAAAACATGTGTAACTTGGGATTTTTTCCTAAAAAGACAGACCAGACCAAAGTCCAAACCGACCTGAGGCAATCAATCTTTCTTTCCCATTCGCAGATTCGCTTTACTGGTTTCATTTCCTCTTCTCTCTTCTAGCATTTCCCCATTCCATTTTGCAGATAAACAGGCAGGAAATATACGAAAAGAAAACTAGCAGCACAAATCCACAGCGTGTCCATATGTACAGTAACAGCAGAATTAAACTATCAGCTCAGCTGGGGAAAGCAAAGCTAGTGGTTGCAACTTATCAATGGAAGACTCAACAGAGACCAGGAACAAAAAACTGCAGAGGAAGAAGAAAAGGGCTTGGCCGTTGAATCTGTTTATGTGAGAGCAATGTAATGTTGTAGTAGTGTAATGAATACATACCAAAGGGAAAATTCTGTCACCTTCTGCTGGATTTTATAATGAAGCAGCAGGTGGAAACATGTGTGGACGTCCGTCCAAACTGCAGAATCAAGTACAGATTCACGGGCAAGACTGGATGAACAGTACATGAAATGAAATGCATTCATTTACCAAATCCAACTCTCAAATGCTTGTATCCTGTAGAAGATGTATGAGGACAACAACAATTTCCAATACTTTCCATTATTTTCATTGATTACTGTTTATGATGGGCCCTTGAGGATGAACCCGCGACAGACAGAGACAGGCCACATCTACCATGCAAGCGAAAGGAAAAAAAGCAAGTGACATTCCAGTCCAGAGGCAACGTCTAGTCGTGTTCACGTGTTACGGCTTCACTTGTCTTGCTTGCCTTCTCCTCCTCCTCCTCCTCCACTTTTCACCATTAGGCGACAACATAGATTTTGATTTCAAAGGGTTGGTCTAGCTAGCTAGCTAGTAAGCAAAACCAAAAGTATTTAATTCTCAGTTCACTCCAAGTCAAAAAGGTGGTATGGGATATGTATGAAATCGAAAGCACCATCATGTTCATATGAAAAGATACTTTCTTTTCTGCAGAACAAGGCTTGTGGTGCTAACTGCTAAGAAAGTGTCTTAACCTCACAACCCATTTCAGGACCTTCCCAAAAGCCTTCTGCCTGTCATTGAAAGCTTCATTTTGCCCAAACCTCTCTTTCAGCAGTCACTGCCAACTTTTTGCCTAAAGCAGCAATCCCCATTTTTTCCAGTACTTACAAGGCATTTGAGATGATGATGATGATGATGATGTTGAAGATTAACTGAGAGTGAGAAGTGAAGTACCTAATCAGCAGAACCACAATCTTGGGAAGAACAAGCTGCTGCACAAGATAAGAGAAGAGGAGAAGCAATGATGGGGAAAAGGTTATACCCTGCACTTCTGATTCTGAACCCATCCCATGATCTGCTCCTGTTGCTGATGATAATTGTTTCTTCTCTCTCTCTTCTCCCACATTCATCATCAGAACTCCAGCTCCAGCCCTCTCAGCTCCAATCCCTCCTCACAATCCAGCAGCTTCTCAACTACTACCCTTCCTCCCTATCCACCGCCAATGCCTCAGATATCTGCACCAGTGACCCAACTTCTCCATCCTCTCTCACCCTGCAGTGCTATGAAGGCAACATTACCCAGCTCCACTTCATTGGCAATGTTAGCAACGAGGGTGGTGGTGGTGCTTCTCCGTTGTTACTGCCTCAAGATTTCTCAAGTTCTTCTTTCTTTGACTCCCTTGCTGGAATCTCCACATTGAAGGTCTTGTCCATGGTCTCTCTTGGTCTCTGGGGCCCTCTCCCTCCAACCATTGGCCAGCTCGCTTCACTTGAGATACTCAACCTCAGCTCAAACTCCTTCTCTGGTGTCCTGCCATTGGAACTTTCATCTCTCAAGAATCTGCAGACGCTCATCCTTGACCACAATCACTTCACTGGTGCAATTCCTGGGTGGCTCACTTCACTCACAACTCTGGCTGTCTTAAGCCTGAACAACAACTCCTTTGATGGCTTACTCCCAGACACAATGGCAACACTTCAGAATCTTAGGATTCTCTCGCTGACAAACAACCGCTTGTCTGGTGGAGTTCCTGACCTTCACAACCTGACGAACCTTCAAGTTCTTGACTTGGGAAGCAACAGCCTTGGACCTCAGTTCCCTAACATTTCCAACAGGTTGGTCAGTCTTGTCCTTAGAAACAACAGCTTTCAGTCTGGCATTCCTGCAGAGTTTCTGGCCTCATCCAACCAGCTTCAGAAGCTGGACATTTCCTTCAATGGGTTTGAAGGGCCAATCTCGGCACCATTGTTGCTCTCACTGCCTTCAATCAGCTATCTGGATGTTTCCAACAACAAAATCACAGGGATGCTCTCTCAGAACATGTCCTGCTATGGACCGCTCAGTTATGTGGACTTGTCCTCAAATCGTTTGAGTGGTGAACTCCCTGCTTGCCTGAAAGCTGTTGGTTCTAGTGCCAGAGTTGTGATGTATGCTGACAACTGCTTTTCAAGCAAAGACCAACACCAGAATCCATCATATATATGTCACAATGAAGCCCTTGCAGTGAAAGTCTACCCCCAGGATAAGGCGAAGCAAACGAAAGCTGGTGGCAAGGTGGTGGTTGTTGCATCAGGTGCCATGGGAGGGACTATTGGAGGGATTACCATCATCAGCCTGGTTTTCCTGTTTGTGAGGAAGGCTAATCATAAGAATGCTGAAAAAGTGGCCCAAACAAGGCTCATCATGGAGAATGTTTCGACTGTGAACACAGTAAAGCTTCTTTCTGATGCACGTAAGATCCCTAAGCTTCTATCTTTCTGTCCCCTCCTTTTAGTCCAAGTGGTGTCGGAAGAATAGGCAGCCATTAATCAATCATCCATGGGTTGTCGTTTGCAGGCTACATATCACAAACAATGAAGCTGGGAGCCGGTCTTTCAGCCTACCGATCCTTTGCCTTGGAGGAGCTTAAGGAGGCAACGAACAACTTCCATGCCTCGAGTTTACTAATTGAAGACACACAAAGCCAGGTTTACAGAGGAAAGCTCACTGATGGAAATGATATTATTATCAAGTGCTTGACACTGACTAAGAAGCAAAACCAGCAGCAGACATTTACCCAGCAGATTGAGTTTGCCTCCAAGCTTAGACACAGCAATTTGGTCAGTGCCATTGGCCACTGCTTGGATTGTTGCCAGGACAATTCTCCAAGCACCAGCAGGATGTATCTGATATTTGAGTTTGTTCCTAATGGAACTCTAAGAGACCACATCTCTGGTAAAAACGCTGACTCCTCCCAGCTCTGTGTAATTTTCTTCTTCGAGCTTGTGCCGATAAAATTTCAAGGTCATCTGGGATCATATGTCTTAGTTTCTGGTATCTCAGGATCTCCGGAGAAGAAGCTGACATGGGTGCAACGGATAGGGGCAGCTATTGGAGTTGCCAAAGGAGTTCAGTTCCTACACACAGGAATTGTGCCTGGAATATTTTCATTCAATCTGAAAATCACAGATGTTCTGCTGGATCACGATAATCATGTCAAAATCAGTAGCTTCAACCTGCCACCATTTGATGGGAGGAAAGGAACAGTGAGTTTTCAACGCACCAGTGTTCTTCGTTTTCAGTTTCAGAAGATACATTCAAAATTCTCAGGCTTATGTTTTCAGTATGGGCGATTTCCAGGTTGCTGCTGCAGCTTTTTCACCAGGACAAAAGCAGAAGTTACAGGACAGGTGGGTAGGAGTTACTTCTCCAGCTACCATTAGGATTTACTGTTAATGTTCTTTGGATTTCGATTTCGGGTTCAGTGCATTTGATTTCTGACTCTTACTACTACAGGCAAGAAGATGGCGACAGTAAAGATGTTGAAGACCTGGGAGTAATCTTACTTGAAATAATAGTTGGAAGGCCCATCATGTACAGGAATGAAATCACAGCCTTAAAAGACCTGGTCAGTATCTGTTTTTATTCCAGGAGCAATTACTAGCCTCATGAATTCCATTCAAAAACTAATCGATCATGCTGCTGGTCCATGAATGGTGTAGGTTAGCACAGCAGCTGACGACACAGCGCACAGGAGTATTGTTGATCCGGAAGTTCAGAAAGAATGCTCAAACGAGTCGTTGAGAACAATGGTAGAGCTATGCACAAGATGCCTCTCTGACGAGCCGTCAATGAGACCATCCATTGGAGATGTGCTCTGGAACTTGCAGTTTGCAGCACAAGTTCAAGAATCATGGAAGGGTGACTGCTGCCTCCAGATTCAACAAGATTCAACCGCCTCTGCTTCCTCGCAAGCGTAACCAAGTAGGGTTCCACTTCCAGGAGCAAGCACAGGGATTGTAAATGTTAAAATACATTCTTATTCAAGATCTAGTTATGCTTCCTAGAATATAGAAACTATTACAAGATTTGAGGGAGATGGTAGGTTGATCATGAGGAGTGAATGGATATTATATAACTTGATGACCAAGTAATCACATTTTCTTCCAGTTCAAGTAAAACCAGGAGTAGAAATTCAGCAATTCTCAAGCTTTTAACAAACAGTTGTCTGTAGAAAGAACTAAGATCCTGAGACTGAAGTGGTTGCTACGATAGACCGAACCAGCATGGCTCGCCACTGAGATCGTTGTATCAATCAAAGCATATCAAAGCAAACCTCACCAGACAATAGTACAACACTATAAGTAGAAATGAAATATTTTTCGTGGTATATAACTCTGTTAATTCCCTCCTCTGTAAATAACACTAATTTACAATAGACAAGTGGGGAGATACAGCAATGAAGAAAATTTTCAGTATGTAACACCTAAAAATGGAGTATGAACACCTATCCTTTGGATAGCCAACAATGTGAATCCTCTGGAGACTCTGACCAAGTCCTAAAGAAGGGACTGGATACGATCTCAACCGTTTAGGGTTGTCATTTTCGCAACCCCTTTGCGCCAAGAGTATTTTGGGTATTTATAATTTTTTGTATTAATTGAATTTTTGAGAATTTAAAACTCATATTAATTACATTATTGTTTTTAATTTCAATTATACATTAATTACAATTTTTTCTCTCTATCTCTCACTTTCCCTTTCTCCTATCTCTCCCTCCGATGGGCTCCCTCCGGCCACCTAGCAAAAAAAGTACCAGTGCATTAAAAAAAAAGTATCACTCCGAAAAAAAATTATCACTGTTGAATAAACCACTAGACTAAAAATGTATCACTACCACTAGACTGATAACACTACCACTAGACTGACTGATAATTATATCGCTAGACGGATAACACTACCACTAGACCGATAACACTAAAAAAAAGTAACACTACTACTAGCAACTGGTCTTTCGCGAGTAGAGAGGAGAGCGGTAGCAACGACGAGGAATGGTTAACTCCGCGGCCAACACCCGGGATCGATCAACGGGTAGTGGTCTTACGAAAGGGAAGCTGCTCGCCGGCGGTGGAACCCTTCTGGTTGTCGCCTTTGCTACTTGTTTGGCCGGTGGTATGGGAAGAGACAGAGGAAGGAGGGAGAAAGAGGCGGAGAGAGAGAGGACAAGAGAGTTTGTTTTAACACAAAAAACGAAAGATACAGGAGAATCATCTGAAGGGGAATGATATATTACCATGTCGTCATCATCATCTCCTTGGAGGACCCAAGATGGCACTCATTTCTACTTCTACAGATCCAACACCTCCACTTAGCGGTTTGAACTTCTCCGCCTCCTTTGCAATTTGGATGTCACAAGGTGAGCAGTATTGATGCAGTATTTTTACAACAAAGCGTGGAATTAGTGCGGCTACAACCACACCAAGCAGGCAAAGCCAGAACAATCTAGTCTTTGCATATACAAAAATGGCCCTGCAAGTAAGGAACGAGCTTGCACCATCAGTTTCTATGGATCACAAATGGAGATCATATAAATAGCATGAGGTTGAACATATATGCCTTAAACCATAAAAAGATGGAAGGTGTAGTTACCAGTAACCAGGTAAATTAGGCATGGCATCAATGGTCATTATAGAGATGAAAGTTGCCAAAATGGATCCCCATATTGCTGCATGCATGAGCCAATTCCACCGGGTGATGTCCATTGCCAGATGAAGATTGACCACAATGACGACTGCCAGTGTCCAGAGATCCCCTATACTTGCTACATCAATGGTGCTAATCCGATAAGCAAAGAAAGGACCGAAGAAAATGACCACGCTTTGCCACAGAGTGTCCATCATCGTCAGCCAGAACAACTTTGAGTTGTAATTTTCTCGTCTTTGCCCAGCTCCATATAGCTGAGGATACTTGAGTAGGGTTTTCCGGCTCAAGTCCTTGTCAAGAATACCAACAATGACAGTTGGCACTGCTGTGTAAAATACTGAATATAGCACACTGTTCCACTCGTTAATAGCTGTCGTCAAAGTGAAAGCAGTGAAGAGCACATACCTGCATACAAGAATTTCAGTGACATACGTGATCAGAGGCAAACCTTATTCAGCAGTCCAATTTTAATACGAGCACTACACATGATATTCTTAAGTATCCAGTTCAAGCTTTGACAACTGAGCATAATAGGCCATTTATTCGGCACCTGCTATATACGATGACCAATTCAGCAGGACTATCCGCATACCATTAGTAAAGTAGATAGCAGCTACAGCATAAAGGTGCTTAAAAAGCACAAACTTTTATACTGTTTATAAATGAACCTGAGCCAATTACGCAGGGGGTTTTCATTTTAGAGAAAGGTAAATGCTGAAGCCAGCCATCATAAACAACTCATCAAGTTCAAACACCTAAACTAAGTCTCTACGAAGAAAACAACAGAACATTTCTCGCATATTTGACTTACCAAAACAAGACGAGAACAAAAATCGCATTCCTGTAGAAGTTGTAAATTATCATATAACCCATTCGCTGGTAATTCCAATGTCCGTGGACCAGCAAAAGTGGAACTAAGAATCTAAACTGCCCCATGGCAAAATCAGATGCCATTACTGCTTGCCGACCCTCCTGCCCACTGATTCCAACTCCTACATCAGCCATTTGGATCATTGAAACATCATTTGCACCTGTTAAAACCCACCAACAACTTCCCATGTTAGCTCAAATAAGCAATGAGGCCAATAACATATATGCCGCAAAGTATTCCCTTCTGAAAGCATTTTAGAGAAGACTCACCATCCCCAATGGAAAGGGTCATGTCAGCTGTCCTATTCTTCACTAGGGCAACAATTCCAGCTTTTTGCAATGGAGCCACCCGACAACAAAGCACCACAGAACATTTGATGGAGAGTTCAAAGAGCTGAAGCAAACAAATAACTAAATTAGCCAAGGTTAAGAAGGAACAAATATATTGTTGAACAGGGAAAGATTGATGTGAATTAAATGTCAAAACCTGTTCTTCGAGTTCACTATCAAGGATATAAACAAGGCTGGTTCCATCAATAATCAAAGCAACCAAACTTCCAGAAGATGCAGAAATCTCTTCATTATCAGGTGTCCCGGACACATTGCTGAGCTTCTTACATACAAGCAAGGCATCTGATAAACTCTTTCTACATGACTCCTTGGAGTTGCTGTTGACAACAAACTGCGTCATTTTGTTCGTCAAGAGCTTTGAAGAATAGCCAATCGATATGGCAGTTTCTTGTTTATCCCCCGTCAAAACCCAGACTTTAATTGCTGCAGTCCTCAGTGCTTCAATAGCTTCCGGAACACCTTCTTGAAGTTTGTCTTCAATAGAAGAAGCACCCAGCAAACTTAGATGGTTTTCAACATTTGTGGCAACCTTCCGAAGCAAAGCAGTGCGGCCAGTCAAAGCAGTACTAGCAGCCTCAAAAGAAGAATGCCACTGCTCAAATTCTGAATCACTCAATTCACGCATCCCAACGACAAGTGTTCTCAGGCCAAGGGAGGAGTAAGAGTGAAGATGGCCTTCAGTAGCACGGATTATGCCCATGCTTGAAGCTTTATCAATAACAGTAAACATGGATGTATCAGCACCCTTTACAAAGATTTTGACAGACTTGTCAGGGAAGCCTAATATGACAGACATCCTCTTCCTATCACTGTCAAACTCATGCAAACCCAAAACAATGAACCTGCAATAACGGTAATGAGCAATAAGAGGACTGGGGAAACGACAGTAAACAAAGATAGAAAGATTCAAGTACCAAATGCCATGTTCAATGTAACAGTTAATGTGATTAGAATATGCAAAGCAATATTTTCACTTCATCTAAACCAGGCTGGCATTGTGTGTCATCATGACATAGTGAAGATAGAAAGATTGGTGAAAGAGAAAACATTGTGATGATAGCATGGGACAATATACTTGAGCAGAGTTAAGGGGAAAACAAAGTAGGAGACATCAATTAAATCAAGAAAAAGAAAAGAGTACCTTTGCCTTTCACCCAGAACATCAATAACTATATGGCCGGAAGTACGTTCTATAAGCATAAAACCATATGCAGCAGCAGCATAAGCCAGAGCTTGTTCATCAGGAGATTCTCCTTGGTAATCCATCAACTTAACATTGGGATCAGATGTGTCAAGAATGAGAGGCACGATTGTATTACAAGCTGCTAATGCAAGGAAAAAGTCACGGATATGTTTAAAATCCTCTGACGTCTTTCCACCTCTTAACACTTGTAGAAGCTTAGGATCAACTTTCACCCTCATCTTTGGACTCACAGTTGCCCCACCAACTGCATCACAACAAGAGAACGCAAGGAAATGAGACATACAAGAAAGACAGGGAGGCCAGACTGGCAATAGATTGTTAAAGAATACTGCCAGCAATAAAAAAAAAATAACCTTGAACAGAGTGTCCTGCTTGTTCATCGCCCAAGGTAGCGTTCCTACCACTGTAATCCACTCCCCATATGCTTGCACACTGGAACTCCATCTTGTTCTCTGTGAGTGTCCCAGTTTTGTCTGAGAACACATACTTTATCTGCCCTAAATCCTCATTTATATTCAAAGCCCGGCACTGAAATCTTGAATTTGATGCCTCATCATACATCTGGGCATCTCGGATCATGAAATAAGCCTGACCAACCCGAACAAGCTCCATAGAGATGTACAAAGAAATAGGAATCATGATCTGGAACACAATTACTGCCATGAGGAATGTGAAGAATATCTCCATTCCCCATCCATAATAATTATAGTTCTCTGGCTCAACTTCATTGTAATCCTTTCTCCTATAAAAGGGCATGGTGTCTAACTCATCTCTGTGCCGCCTCAACCATACAGCAGCACATGCAGATACAATTGTACACAAGGCAACAAGAAAAAGAGAGAGTATGATGATTTCTGAGTTCATGCGAGTCTCAAGCCTGCTTCTCTTCGAAGGGGCTCCTGAGCTATTCAGCATAGCTTTGGTCTCAGCTCCACAATACACAGCAACCCCAAGAATTGAAGCTGTATTCTTCAGGTCACAGCCCCGAAGGATAATATTGGAAGGTCCAAGTGACAGGCGCTTCCCATCAATCTCCATGTTTCCATGGAATCCATAGATATTCCTATTAGGCTTTTCACACTTGATCAACCCAGTAAACGTTCCATTCTCAGGATTCTTTGAGAGGGTCTCTTGCTTTGCATACCGTGTCTTCAAATTTGACTCTCCATCCAAGTTGATGGTCTGCACATAAGCAACCCCAGTAGGGTCACTGGTGGAGAGCAAGACCATATCACAAGGAAGAGTATCATTAGCTTCCACCTTGATTATTTCACCAACCTGAATATCCTTCCATCTCTTTTGTTGGAAATGACCATCCACCAAAACCCACGCCAATCTATTGTTCTCAATCTTATCTGCCCTATGCCTTCTCCAATCCTCATAAGCATCCTTAACTGCTGTAACTACTAGCACAAAAGCAAGTGGCAAAATGGAAGCTCCCCGCCCAAAAACGGCGAGCTGGGGAAACTGATTCAGGACAGCTATAATGAGGAAATAAATGTATGCAACTCTATGGAACTGTTCAAACAAATTTCTAGGCAAGAAAGAAATAACAGAGTACTTTGCAGTCCTAATGGAGTTCCTAGCAAACTCGAATTTATCATTCGTGCTTACAGAATCGTTAATATAGACAAACCTAGCATCTTCTTCATTAATCTCTTTCTGAGACATACTATACACCTCTGGATCCGCCCTCCTGGATCCATACAACACAGGCTTAGCCCCTAAATCACTGAAAGCAACTTCCCTAGTGGTGCCCGCTCGAGAAGCCCGGGAATGTTGGGAAGAAGCGTTTCTCCTCGAGTTGGAACTCAGAGTGATTTCATTGTTCAGGGAGCTGTCGAACGTGATCGGGGAAGGCGAATCCATCGTAATCAAAACCAGCTGAGGGGTTTATCGAAAAGTTGGATCTTTTTTTCTCGGCCGATCAGGACCAACTGGAAGGACTGATGAATCCCAGAATCAAGTGAGGACTCATAGGGCATGATCTGGAGAAAAGATCAAATGGCTGTTGAGAAGCACGTCCAGCTGACAAGGAAGAAGGGTTTAAGAAACACCCAGATAATAATTGGACCAAAAACACAATATTCGACCCGAACCCATGTAGCAGATTCCAATACAAACAGGCAGGAAATGAAGGCTGCCGGAGAAAAGTAAAACCCAGAGGCCAAAAACAGCCCCGCAAAAGAAATCAGGTGGCCGGCAGCCAAAAAGAATACCCCGGCTAGTCTTGGAGCTCCAAGTTGCAGGAAACAAAAGGGCTAATTGTGGCACAGAATGTCAAGGAGAATGTGTAGAAGAGAGGAGATAAACCTGTAAAGGGGATCGATATGGAAAATTAGGGATTTAACAGAAAAAGGGAAAAGAGGGAAGAAAGCGGAGAGCGATGGAGGCAGGAAGAGGAAGACGAGCAAGCAAATGGTTTGCTTTTCGTCTTACGAATTCCTTTAGCCTTACGGGCTTCAAATAAGGCAAGCCCAACAGGCCAGCACAAAAACTAGAAACACTAACGGGTCGTTTGGCTGTAGTAATTGTCAAAAAAAAAAAAAACATTTTGTGGGAAATTGTCAAATTTTCATATTTGGCTATGAAAAAAAGAGAATGGGAATTGAGCTAAATTACCATAGATTTTTTTATCAAAGATAATCATATAATGATTCAAAAAATAGGTAATTATATCCTGGAGTTCAACTAGACCTGAAAATCAAAGAAACGACTCATAGTCGGGTACAAAAAAATGATCTGTCGAGCCACCAAATAGGCTACCCTATTGGTACGTCGACCTACAAATCGCACACTAAACCCATTATGGACAACAAAGTATTGCACAATTTCTTCAAGAACCGCTCTCATCCGTTTGTCTCTGGTATCTGCCCGATTGATCTTGACGATTACCCCTTTGGCATCCCCTTCAAACCTTATCTCCGTGAAACCATGAGCCAGACACCATAAGATATCTTCACGAAGCACAAGTAATTCAACCACCATAGGATCATCAATGAAAGGGAACTACAACCCAGTAACCAAAAAGATCTCTCGAGCTTAGTTCATAATCACCATCCCGGCTGCCGAATGAGACCCACTACTTACTGCCTCATCCCACATACAGACAGCAAAGTGAGGCCCACCAAGTCTCACATGTTGTACCGGGGGTGGAAGAATGGAGAACTCGGTCCACCGACAAACTTTTCCATTCCTCATATTGTTGGTGAAATTGCCTCAATAAAGCTGGATCCCAAACTGTTTACCCTAAAAAATGGTAAGCCGATTTAACAGAGAAAACCTCGTCAAGCGTGGCATGCCAAATTAATTTATCTGGAACAGTCTGGCGAGGAAGAGGGATATTTTTGGTGGCCCAACAGGTAGCTGGATCAAATCACTGGCTAAGTTTAATGTCACACCACCGACCTTCTCTCTAACATATAACCACATCGACAGGTGGGTCCCCCCCAGGAGGCAGCACCCTAGGATTATACAATGGCGGATCGGGATGTAATTGAGAAACCCAGTTAGAATGAAGTAGAGAAGCAGTCTAGTCATCCCCAATTTGTCACTGTAAGCCCATATCTAATAGCTGACGACCATAGAGAATACTCTATCATCCCCAAGATGTGCGAGAGCGAGCCTGAGCAGTAAGGAAGTTCCCACTAGGAAAATACTTACCCTTATAAACCTGGGGCGGGAAGGACTGGGGTTCATCCAGAATTCGCCATCTAATTTTGGCCAAGAGAGTCTGATTAAAATGCTCAAACCGACGAAAGCTCATACCCCCGTCATGCTTGCTCCGACACGTATTATGCCAGGACATCCACCAGATCCTAGACTGGCCCTCCCCAACACCCCACCAGAATCTGGCAACATGTTTATTCCAAAAGACGACAAAGAGAAAAAGGCGGCATTAAACATGACATTATATGCAAAGGCAGAGCTAACACAACTGATTTAATCATGGTCTCTTTAGCCACCCACGATAAAGTTCATTGTTTCCACCCCTGTAATCTTTCCAGCAGTTTATCTTCTAGATAACGGAACATAACCATTCTATATTTGGATATTAGCGTAGGTAATCCCAGATATTTGTCATGACTCGTGAACACCTACTGCCCCCACACCCAGCACCAAAGCCAAGAATTCTTGGTCCGGCGTAGTAATGTTCTTACTAAAACACACTGCCGATTTATCTAAATTAACTCTTTCGCCACTAAAATCCTCTTTGTCATTCAAACCCTCGCTTAAATTTTCACATTCATGAAGATAACCTCTAAGTAATAATAAGAATCATCTGCAAGGAAAAGATGCAAGATTCAGGGCATGAGGATAACTTTCACACCTTCAAATTTTCCTTCCGAAATAGCCTTGTGAAGGAGCACCGCAAATCCTTTTGTGCATATCATGAATAGGAGAGGAGAGAGGGGATCACCCTGATGGAGACCCCTCGATGGTGAAAAGAAACCCGAAGGGGTCCCATTCACGAGGACAGAAAATGACGTAGATCTTAGGCATTCCTGTATCCAACCTCTCCAAACAGAGCTAAAAACCCATTTTTTTCAAAACTGCTAGCAGAAAGGGTCATTCGACTCTATCATAGGCCTTTTCCATGTCAACCTTTAAAGCCATATACCCTTTCTTACCGCGAGTTTTGATTTTCAAGTAGTGCATTAGCTCATGCCCTATGAGAATATTCTCAACTATTTGTCTTTCACGGATAAATGCATTTTCAACCTCTAAAACTATCCGGGGTAGGAAGGCAGCAAGTCTTTGCGTCATGATTTTGGTAATTATTTTGTACACAAACTGACATAAACTGATTAGGCGTAGCTGCTTCATTGTCTCCACATTATCCACTTTGGGTATTAAGGTAAATCAAGTATGATTGAAGATCTTGAGCAGTTTGCTTGTGCCAACGAAAGAGCATACTGCTTCAATCACCTTTGAAAAACTTCCATGTGAACCCATCAGACCCCAACCCCTGCTTGGATCCTATTGAGAAGACCGTCTTTCTAACCTTACCAGGAAGGACATCAGCAATCAAACGAGCATTCATTTCCTCAGTGACACTGTGCTGTGGGAAGATCTGCCACTCGATCAAACACATTTAGCACCTGGTTCTCTGGGGTGAATAGGGTCTGATAAAAGTTACAAGGAATGTTAGCCTTTCCAACTAGGTTGGTAGTGAAAATCCCGCATTTTCAATTCATACATTTATGAGTATTTTCTTTCCAATTATGCTCATGTTCTTTTACTACAAACCTAATATTAACCTTGCCTTTTTGTAAGGTCATGCACACACATAGGGCATCTCTCTTGCTATGTACACATCGCCACTTCTTATATTATTTTCACATTTCCATGTCCGTGAACAATCCTATCTGCTTCCTCGTTGGCAGCGAAACGTTCGAGAAGAGCACCAGTGACAAATCTAAGACCTCATTCTTGCTCAGTCGTTGTTTGGGAAACCGACGAGCTACTCTGTTAGGAGCTGCATGCGCTTTGATTTCATCTGATTTTGTTGTCGTAGTCGATCGTCGAGGAACAAAATACTCAGACCTTCGTTGGTGTGTTGTAAGCGAAGTGTGATTCCTTCGTAATCAAGGGACCAGGGAAACTGGAGTTGCCATAAGTGAGAAACAAGCTGAAGAGCAAGTAAGAGAAATCCATGAGAACTCCACGCATGACATGAGACATGATCCAAAGGTCAAAAGGCACAATACTATCAAGTGGCCCGAGGTCAGAGAGCGAGGAAGAAGCACACGAGTGATAACAAAATGCAGGACAAGAAGACAAAATGTAACAAAATGAAATGGAAAGAAACTCGGAAGGAAGCACTGCACGATTGACAGTGGCAATTTCAATGGATTTATATGACAGTTTAGGTATTTATTTTGAGTGAGTCGGGTTTTGTCAATGGGTTGAGTTGGACAAGCTTACATGGCATGTCTTAGTGATGTGGTGGCTGGGGTTTCACCATTTACATATTAAATTAGGCTGACTAGGTGATTCCTTCTGTCACAACAACAAATAATAAACTCCATTAATGTAGACGGATGGAGACTAAGAGAGTGACAAATATGACATACTTTACTATATTCAAAATAAAATAAAAATATCTTAACAAATATTAAAAGGGTTTTGGAATTTAGCCCATGCCACGTACCCCTTACCAGACGTTGAAGGTGTCCACGTCAGCCATTCTCTCTTCCCTTCTTTTTCGGTTGATACCCTACTCGGTACAAAAACCTCATGGCCTCTTCTACTTTTTGTCTTTCTCTCTATCATCCAGCGGCACCCTCGGGCCTCATCTTCCTCCCAAGATCAACAAACTTCCTTCGACTAGCATTGGCCATTTACACCTCTCGTTGTTGGAGCCTTTCGATTACAAGTTTAGGAGTGGAATCAATTTCTCGCCGTTGTGTGGACCATCGGTTACGCGAATATTTCATGTCAATTGCAGATGGTGGTTCCAGAAATCGACATGGATTTCATTCCAGTTCATGCCCGCTGATTTCCCTCAATTTCTGAGAAAATTGTGTTTCCGTTCCCCTGTATTTCCCATACTTACGTCTTTTTCCGCTCTGACTAAAGGAAAACTTATGGTCGTATCCACTCCCACTATCCATTTCTCTTTTCTCACCATCAACACTTTTCCAAGTGAACATCAGGAGACGCTCAAGTTGAAGGATTGGTCAACGAAGCACACAGTACAGACAAAAGCAAGTCAACAAATGGAGAATTGTGGAATCCACCACAAACAAAAGGTAGCCCGAACAAATCAATAGCCAACCGAAAGAAGCAGAAGGCATAAGTGAAATTTTGGGACAATTACTTGAACAATCGGGGAACCGATCGAAGTGGCGGCGACGACATTTGTTGTTGCAGTGGCGACACTTTTGGAGAATCCATGAAGTGAAAATGTGAAGGTATCAGTAACACTAGAAATTATTTTCTGCATCTTCCATTCTCTTTCTATCTCTATTTTCTCCGCTGCTGAAACTTATTACCGGATTAAAAAATGGAATTCTCATTGCGCAGAAAGATAAGTTCTTTTGGTTCTACCCTCCCTCACTACATGCCTGAACTGTTTTCTTTTTGTTCCATTCCCCTGTATTTCACATACTTCGTCGTCTTTCGTTCTGATTTGATGCCAATAGAATAGAACGATGAACTATAGCCGCTTTGATGTAACATAGCAAGCTTTGTAATAATTGTCATTGTCTTCATTTCATTATAAGTGTATAGTTTTGTTTTGTGCCTGAGAAAATGTACTGACAATACAAATTTTTAGTTCCCAATTAGATTTTGCTGATAATGGCTGTGTAATTGTGACCATTGTTAAATCCTGAGTAATTTTTTTTGAACTTTTACGAAAACTTTATGATGCTGCTGTGAATTCCTAATAAATAAATCAGAATATACTTTGCTTCAGAGTCATCTTCCATGTGTACCAAGTTTACCAATAAATAAATGGCTTTGTTGGATCTCTTTTCCAATGTTTGTACATTGGGTTTACTGTTTTACCTGCTTTTCATCTGTTGCTTCACTTGCTTGATATGGTTGTTTGTTCCTGTTTTTTTATTGTCTTTTTAATTCTTTGCTCTCAGTACAACATTCATTTCCAAATTCTTTCAATATTCTCTTATGTCGTTTATAATTTAGTAATATTATTGATCACTTAAAATCTTAAATGTAATCAAATCTCGCATCCATGAATAAACCCTTAATCACGTCGTTTACTATAAACTGGCATGGGTGCCAAAAATACAATCTATACACATATATTTCAACATTTCAATGACAAATGCCGTATAAGCAGCTCCACAACCAATTAACCAAATCTACATTGAATGAGGCTCCTGCTACAATATCGCTACCACAATATCGCCACTGCTAACGACAACGAGTAAGAAATCAGAACTTATATTCGAATCACGATACAACAATTTTGTGCTACAAACCAAGACTACAACGTAAATTAGAGTAACGGAAGCACTAAGTCTCAAGACGTGAAAAGTACCAATGTTGCAGGTTTGTCTTTCAAGATTTGACATACAAAAGTAGTCATTTATTTTGTACATCACAGCATACCACACTAACAATCATGTAATCTCCGGCCATATGACAAACAAACAATGATCGAGGCAAACCGACATTGGATCATGAAAGACAAAAATCTGAATAATATCGCAACAAACTCACGAGAAAGACCAACCTGGTCAAGAGAAAATCAACCTGGCCAAGGGCCGGGCACAAAGCTAGTTAGTAATCAATGAACTTTTTTAGCAATCCAATGATCAACCTTGCAATTTACTCCAACAACCAGAAAGGAAAAGGAAATGGCTTCCTTCAGGATTCAGGAATGAGATCTGCTCCGCAGTGTTGGGCTGCTCGGCCAGCCCAAAGCAATGATTCCCCCAAATTGGGCTTAAGGAATCGGGCTTGATGGGCTGAAGAAATCAGAGCAGGCCCGCCCAACTCCAATGCCTAATTAAGTCCATTGATTCATTTCTTAAACCTTTACTGGTCGCCTAGGCTCAATTCTCAAGCCCCTGCCCTAGATCGTCATCTCCGTCTCCTCTCCTCTCCTCGACTCAATTCTGCTATTTTGCCTTAAACCTTTACCGCTCTGCTCTCTGGGTTTAACGGCTTTCTCATTCCGGTAGCGTCCTCATTTCCTCGTCTATTTCGTTTCGTTTCATTTATACTGACTGCTATTTAGCCCTATTTCCGCTTCAGGGTTGCAATTAATTCGTCCTATGGCTGCTTTCTGCTCTGAAATTTAGCTCCTTTTTTTCGTACTGTCCTCTCAATATGTTCCGGTTTTTTTATTGGGTGAAGGCTAATTTGCTGAGCTACTGAACCGAAAATGGTGAGGCCGTTTGGGGTGAAGGGGAAGAAGAGGAAGAGGAAAGAGAAATATGACAGAGATGAAGAAGAAGAAGGTGAAGAAGTCGCAGAGCCCACGGTTCAGGAAACGGCGAAGGAAGCTGCTGTAGAGGAGGAGGAGGAGGAGGAGAAGGAAGCTGGGACTGCAGCTGACGAAATGGCTGGCATCCCGATCGTTCAGATTGACCAACAGACCAAAAAACCTGGGGTCATTTTCGTGCTGGAGCGGGCTTCTTTGGAAGTTGCCAAAGTTGGTAAGGTAAGGTGTTTTCGCATTCATGTTGTAGTTTATGTTCTTAGTATATTCATTATGATTGATGTAGGAGGTTGAAGGTGATATTTCAATCTTTAAAGTGTTCAGCTTTTAGATGTACTTTCTTGTAAGACTCAGTTATGACTGTTGTCTCTTCTGGTGCAGACTTACCAGATATTGAATTCGGATGACCATGCCAATTTCCTAAAGAAAAATAACAAAAATCCTGCTGATTACCGGCCCGACATTGTTTATCAGGTAACTGCACTTTGGCTTATAGAGTTTTGCCCTTTGGCGTAAGAATTGTGAGAATTTTCCGCAGTTGCATGTGTTTGAAGACAATAATATCACTAGCTTAGTTCTCTATAGAAACGATCATTCAAGGTATTGAACTATGTCTATGATAGGAAGTTAAAATGTGTTGTTCTTTTAACAAGCTGTAAGAAAGTGCTGTGCTTGTATGTAAACAGACGCTAATTGTTTCTTTTTGTGCACTAATGCAACGCCTTTGTGTTTGAAACAGGCTCTCCTGTCAATTTTAGATAGCCCGCTGAACAAGGCTGGGAGGTTGCGAGCTGTATATGTGAAAACTGATAAAGGTGTTCTTTTCGAAGTCAAACCAAATGTGCGTATACCAAGGACGTATAAGCGTTTTGCTGGCATAATGTGTAAGTGCAACTCAACTCAATGACCTATTGCTTTAGCATCTTGGAAGTATCCTGGTTATTTCATTTACCTCACCCCCTGTATTGACGATTGATGCCCGATGCCCGATGTTGTGTGCAGTGCAACTGCTTCAGAAGCTCAGTATATCTGCTGCGGGCAAAAGGGAGAAGCTTTTGCGTGTGATAAAGAATCCAGTAACCCAGTACCTTCCAGTCAGCTCCCGCAAAATAGGTCAGTTTGAGCTTCTCTAAGTGTTTGTTTAACTTGTCACAACTGCTTCATGCAAGAAGATTAAAGAGTACTCGTTGCCTTCTTGAATCAGGGTTTTCTTACAGCTCGGATAAGTTGGTGGAAATGAGCAAGTATGTGGGGACAGTGAGCAGTGATGCTGATCTTGTGTTTGTGGTATGAATATGATGCCCAAGAAAAGGAAGCTTTATCTTTTGTTTTCCTCTCTTTGTACGTTCTGCAACTGAGTTTGTGATTAATATATATCAGGTTGGTGCTATGTCTCATGGGAAAATCGACTGTGATTACATTGAAGATTTCATAGCCAGTATGTGGTTTCTTTCTTTCTTTCTTTCTTTCTTTCTTTCTTTCTAGCAGATGACAAATTCGATTCTGTAGCCACCCTCAAATATAATGCCGTGTTTACTGTTGTCCTGCAGTTTCTGGGTACCCGCTGAGCGCTGCGTGGTGTATCGCAAGGATCTGTGAGGCTCTTTCGAATAAATGGGGCGTCGTTTGAAAACAAATTATACAACCTTGCTTTCTTTCCTGATGCCTTTACTCCACATTCAGACTCTGTACTGATGGTTTTGTCGAGTGTATTCGAGTCGATGTAATTTAAGAAATATATTGTTTTTCATAAACGTTTGATCGTGTATTTGAGTGTAATTAAAACAATATATTTAATCTCAAATACAATGCCAATCCCATATACGAGTGTGGATGGCCCTTTTAGATTCTTAACTCAGGAAAGAGGGAAAGGATTATTGCAAGATCAGAACATGAAGCAAAAGCAAAGCACAAAAGTGTGATTCTTATCAATATAAACTGAGCCAACGATGGAGCAAAATAACCATCCATTTCATATTCTGTTATCTTTCTTTTTTGTCAAGCATGGAGAAAATCATGATGATGGCCTCTGGATTTGCCATGAAGGATGTGTCTTCTTCAATCCCCCATGCAGAGCTTTTGGGTGTGCTTGTCACCATCATCTCCGTCTCTATTGCTCTTGCCTACCATTACAGCAAAACAAAACCCAAAAGTGTTGATTCTGATCCTTCTTCCATCAAAATTTTCGACTGTTTATAGTTAATCAAGCTGATGCTTGCTTACTAATTGCCAAGCTGTTTTGTATCTCCCAGGGTGCATAGACCCTGAGAAATTCCAGGAGTTCAAGCTGGTTAAGAAAACAGCAGTGAGCCACAATGTTGCCAGATTCCGGTTTGCTCTTCCTACTGCGAAATCCGTCCTGGGTCTTCCTGTTGGGAATCACATCGTTTGCAGGTGGGCAGCTTGTCATTTCATTGTATAGTCTTGTCGTTCCTTTAGCATGTATTGAACTGTACTACTTCTGCCTCTGTGAACCAGGGGAAAGGATGCTGAAGGTCAAGAAGTTACTAAGCCATACACCCCAATCACTCTGGATTCAGATTTCGGCCACTTTGAACTTGTAGTGAAAGTATGTTTCTTGAAAACCAGTAAGAAAACCATTTTGTCCCCTCTTTGAATCGTTTCCTGAAGAGTTCTGTACTTTGCTAATGGACTCAGATGTACCCACATGGAAGGATGTCTCACCATTTCAGGGAAATGCACGAAGGCGACTCTCTGGCAGTGAAGGGACCTACGGTGAGTCAGTAGTCCCGTCTACACATTTTCATGAATGGATATGCCTACAAATGGAATCACTCCTCCTAAGAGAATTACTTTACACTATCACAGGGTCGTTTCGTCTACAAACCGGGCCAAGTTAGAGCTTTTGGGATGATTGCTGGAGGATCTGGCATTACCCCTATGTTCCAGGTCCATGTTCAAGCAGCTGTTGATACTTTTATTTAAGTCTGATCATAAAGTTGAGCTTTCTTTTGTTCATCCCTTGAACTCCTTTCTTTCGTTCGATATTGCAGGTGACTCGGGCCATATTAGAGAACCCGAAAGACAAAACAAATCTATCCTTGATCTATGCCAACACAACATTTCAGGACATCCTGTTGAAGGTAATTCCAGTATTCCACTTCTTTTTGCAAGCGTATATCATCGTGTATTTCCCAGAACCGTACATTTTCTTTTCGACTCTGCAATTTTTGTTGTGGGCTCTGTAGGAAGAACTTGATGGTTTTGCTAGGAAATTCCCCAGCCGTTTCAATGTGTACTATGTGCTGAGCCAGGTAGGTCACTTGCTAAATAATCTCCATTTTGTGACTTCCCATGCATCAATCAATCCACCATTACTAATCCTGCAAACTTGACTGGTTGCAGCCACCAGCTGAGGGATGGAACGGTGGTGTTGGTCGAATAACCAAGGATATGATAAGAAGCTATTGTCCAGCTCCAGCTTCTGACATTCAGGTCAGTTTTCAACTGTAAACAGATATTCTGATAGCACTGCAGAATTCATTCCATATGATCATAAATTTTTGTACAGGTCCTAAGGTGTGGACCATCAGGCATGAACAAGGCAATGGCTGCTCATCTGAACGAGCTTGGATACACAGCAGATATGCAGTTTAAGTTCTAGAACTGATTTCTTATTTTCTCAGTAATATGTATACAAATCATTTCATTCTATTCATCCTACAGAATAACAAATTTGAATATCTTAAACCAATTCAGTGAGTGTCAAATACTAACATTCTGCATAATAAAAGGTTGCCTGAGCTCTGGAGAGTGGAAGTCTCTGTTTCCTTGTTAATAGGGATAAGTCATCAGTTGTCTGCACATAAGTTTCTCATAGGATATTCCGGTCACTAATCTGGCATGGCATTCTGGAGATGACTACCATATCCTAATAATTTAGATGGCTACAATAATTACAACTAGACAGAAGACAAACTCGTACCGGTTTAGTTCTAGGAGCCAGAACACTAGGTTCATTTGTCAATGATTGATTCTACCTCTTCAGCTATGAAGTTTCATTTCTCCAAAAATGCTAGAATATCTGCTGCAATGTGGAAGTGTCTCCTGATGCATGGACTCTATGGGAACCAATCTATGTAAAGCTGGTTAACCCCTGGCGACTCTAGCCTTTGTTGGAAGAGGCCTTGGTTCGAATGTCATGGGACAACTCTTCACGTACAAGTCCTATCTCCCAAATGGATGGCCATTCCGATCCCGGATGAGCAATGTTGTCAGTTGACAACATGCCACATCTATCCAAATCAACAAGATTCAACCATGTTACGCAAAAGAGAAAATTGAAACAGTAACAAATGCATAAGCAACAACCGCTTACAACAACGTAAATTTGTTTTGAAGTTATGACATCGAAGAATGCACCACATATGAGATCATGCCCACAAAAATTACAAGTCAGCGCCATAAATCACCTAAACCAGAGAATATTATGCAACTGACCCGAACCCAAAAAGAGATGACGCAAAAAGCAAGAGTAACAAGATGCATTAGTAGAAACTACTAAGATGATGCTACCTGCAAGAATCTTTATGCTGCTGAATTTTTCTCAGTTTCCTGCTCCCTGTTTTTCCCCTGCCTTTTCCTGCAGCGAATGGAAGAAATGCTTAGTAGACAAGACGCCGTAAAATCAAAGATCCTTAAGGAAGAGCTAAATTCCACCAAAAGTAAGACACCTGATAATCACAGAAATAGCAGACATACACATAACATGGCCAAGTATGGCATCACCAGTTTACTAGTTTATGACTACTTCCACTTCCAAAAAAATGTTCAATGGGCCTATTAAAAACTCCCAATCATATTCACAATGCCAAACATTCCAATCAATGTTCCTCGAGTGTTTTAGTACGGATGACAACTTAACTGGACATGCATCAATAAACACGAACAGCATATTATAATATCACTCAGTTAACTTCCAGTTCACCCCTTTCTCCTGACTGCTTGGTCTCCCTAACTGCATACAAAAACCTGAACTGAGAAGCAAATAGTTGACTGCCCAATAAACAAGCAGGATCAGAGCATAATAGCCTATATATCCAATAATCTAGAAAGAACTTCATGGTCATGCTCACTGAAAGTTATCATCTAGATGCCGTGACGGGTGAACAATAACATGTAAGAAGATCCTTAAATAGATATGGGCGTGGTTCACATGTCACATTGAAGCAATCGTCAAAACATAATTTTAGTATATATTATATAATGCAGCAGTGCAGGACTAGTGAGCGTTCAGAAGTATAAATTTGTAATCTAGGAAATTCCAGTTCACTACATGTGCAGAAACTTACTCCTTGTATGATGTGATTAGTGATTTGGGCCTGTCATAACCATCTTCATTTTTCCGAGGTTTTGGTTTGCCAGCAGACTGCCTAGTTTCTGGTTTCCAGTTCGCCTTGGTAAGAGATTGACCCAACAAATCAGCAATGTCTGTTGCCATAGCTTCAGCCTTCTTCCCATGTGGGAAACTTTCATAGTCAAACTGATGAGACAACCATAGATACATCGACAGAACTTGATGTTTTGTCTCCAGGTCCAGGAGCTCAGTGTCATTCCTAGCAGAACCTTTAGGCATCCCCATTGCTATACTAGCAGGTACTTTCTGACCGTAGTCCGAAGCAAACCTTAGAAGATGATACATTGATTTTGGGTCCCTAATATTAGTCGGAGCAAAACAAAAGTTGAAACGATCTTGCAGAGACAAACCCTTAACCTTCTCCAGCATATTTGCTACCTTCTTTATATGATCATGCTTACAAAAGAAGTACATTCCATCAAGACGGCAACTTTCAGCAAACTTTGCCAGAATCTTGGGGAAATTAAGATCAGGAAGTTGCGCTGCGAATGATTCAACCTGCTCAAAGAAAGGAAAGAGTCCCACTTTCTTAACTTCGTCAAAAGGTTGCTTTAAGCACTCGATAAGGTAGGCAAGATCATCTAATTGCAAGGTTGTGGTGAGTCCAACTGGGAAGCGACTTCCTCTCCTGCCAGCTCTTCCTGCAATCTGCTTGACCTGGGTTGCTGGAACAGGTACAACTTTGTCGCCATTGTATTTGGAGAGATTGTAAAAGACAACTCTTCTGATATTTAGATTCAAACCCATTCCTACTGCATCACTTGCAACCAATACATCAAACTCATTGTCCTGGTCATTGAATAAGTTAGCTTGCTGTCGGCGAGTCTCGGGAGGCAATGCACCATAAATAACACAACATCGATGGTTAGTGTTTTTCTCAATGGCCAACTTCACCTCAAATATTTCTCTTCTTGAAAATGCAACAACACAGTCCCCAGACTTGACATTTTTCAGATCTCCCAACAATGTTTTGGCTTCAACCTCCAACTTCTTGAACCGCTCGCAATGGTGTACTTCCAACTCATCTCCAGTTTCTGCACAAATCTTTCTCACAATGTCAAGCACACTTGGATCGCCACATAGATGAATTTCATCAGCCTTCACCCCCAGCAATGCTCTTGTCCAGGCAAAGCCTCTGGTTGCGTCTGCCATCATCTGGATCTCATCAATAACCGCTACATCATACATCTCATCAACAGACACCATTTCTATAGTACAAGCAACATGGTTCGCAAAAGGAACCCGTTTCTTCTCTTGCCCAGTGAGAAGACTACAATAAACCCCATGGGAATTCATCTTATCAAACACCTCCATAGCCAAAAGCCTTAACGGACCGCAATAAATACCCTTTTTCGCTTCCTTAAATCGCTGCAACGCCTCGTATGTCTTGCCACTGTTTGTCGGCCCACAATGGTATACGATCCTACGTTTCATTGCCCTAGCAAAAGGAAACCAAGTGTGCGGCTTTGTAAGGTCCGCTTTCGAAATCATAGCCTCGAAGCTCTTCATCTCATCAGTGAACTCTTCTAGACAATATTCAGCAAATATGGGGAAAAGGAACCTAACAGCATCATCACAGGGACCAAGCGACACCAAATAAAGCCCAAGATCAGCAGAACACTTATCCAAGACAAACTTCCTAAACTTCTGAACAGCTGTAGGAAAAAACGACATGCCAATATAAAATGCAAGGGCCTGGTTAGCTGCCCAACCTGAATTTGCAAAGTAAGAGAACACATCCTGGATTGTTTCCCAGTCAGACCGTCTCATCTGATCATTCTTCTCAGCCATCCTAAGCTCCCTATACAATTCTATCGGATCACATAACGCCATATTCCTCTTGACAATAGAGGAATTTTACAATGCTATATAGTATTGGTGCTATAGATTTTTGCCTTTATGGTACAACTTGAAATTGTACCTTTAACGTTATGGTACAACTTCAGATTGTACCTATACTTTTTGTACAAATTCTTTTATGGTACAACTTAAACTTGTACCTTGTGTGATGGTACAACTTCAAGTTGTAAAGTTGTACCATAACATAATGATACAAATTCCTTTATGGTACAACCTAAACTTATACATTTAATGTTATGGTACAACTTTAAGTTGTACATTAAAGCACCAATACTATATAGCATAGTAGAAGTGCTCCTTGACAATAATGTTCTCACTGGCATGAGCATCATCAATGTGATCCTGGCGCACATCTCTACCATCAACATAATCAATCCCCTGGCTTAACACATTCTTGCTCCCTCCCCCAAAACCAACACTCACATCAACGTCCACACTGGTACTCTCATCGCTGTTCCCACCATCCCCATCCTGCCCGGACGTTGAAAACAATCCCACATCAATTCGATTAAAGCTGCCAACTTTAGAGCACTTCAATGGAGACCCAGAAACAATTATCTGCAGCTCGATCAAACCAGTAAAGATTTGACGAGAAGGAAAGCCAAACGAGGGGCAAACATGGCGACCAACTGATGATGCCCTGTTGTCGAATTGCCTCAAAGAACGCAAATTTGGTACAGAAACGAAACCCCTGGTCCTGGAACCGGCGGGTTTCGACTTACAAAACCGCAAAAGAGATGAAACGCAGCCCCGCGCCATAGTCCTTCTTCGAAATTCACGAACAGAGAACTAGACATTAAGCATGCGCGCGAAGCTTCAGATACCTGAAGAGCAATCTCGGCGTTCAATTGACTTCCGTGAAAACCCGAATAGAAGTGAGGGCGATGGACGGGTGGTCAATACCCGTCAACCAAAAAACATGAACTTCCACAAATGGGCCGTTAGTTTCATGGTTTATTGGGCCGAAAACCCTATCCAGCAGCCCAATTCCGCGGCCTTTCATCTCCATTTCAGAAGTCAATAGCCATAAGGAGCTTCTTCTCTCCCAAACCCTAGCAGAAACCTTTTGGCCTCTCTTCTGCAACGCCGTGCAGTCCTCTCTCGCCGGTCTCTCTCTCTTCTCTCATCAACGTAAGTCTCTCATCGTCCCCGGTCCGATCTCCAGTAACTGTTTCTTTCGTATTCTGATCGTTTTTCTTTCTGATCTGCTGGCAGAAGCCAGAAACAATGTCGTTCGGCGAGGTAGCCTGCAGTTACGCCGTGATGATTCTCCACGACGATGGCATCCCCATCACGGTAAGCATTTCTTGGAACCCTAATCGAAATTCAATTCCTTTCCCGGTAGATTTTGATTTAGATGGGGGTAGCATGGTGATTGAAATGTTTGGGTTTGATAGGCGGAGAAAATTAGCGCATTGGTTAAGGCCGCGAATGTGAACGTTGAGTCTTACTGGCCAAGCCTGTTCGCCAAGTTGGCCGAGAAGCGAAATGTTGACGATCTCATCATGAATGTTGGCGCTGGTGGTGGCGGTGCTGTTGCCGTTGCTGGTCCTGCTGGTGGAGCTGCTGCACCTGCTGCCGCCGCCGCCCCTGCGGCTGAGGAGAAGAAGGTGAATTGATTGATTTCTCTTAAGCTTTTGTTGTTCACATTGGCTGCTTTGAATTGTAGACAGGCCGCCTTTTTTTCCATTTTAGTTTACTCAGTGTGGTAGCTAAAGTAATGGCGATGAAACTTTTTTTTGCAGGAGGAGGCCAAAGAAGAGAGTGACGACGACATGGGTTTCTCCCTCTTTGATTAGAAAAGAAGAAAGCGATCATCCACCTGCTGCTGCCATATTCGTGTTCTGTTATATCCCCAAGTTTTGATTAAGTGTAGTTATTTAATGCCCATTCGGATTGCAACAAAGTTTTATGTTCCGGAATTGGGAGCTTTTTCAACATTTTACTACAATACACTACTGGTTTCGGTGATTTGGTGATAATACTAAATGCCTGAGACTTTCTGTTTCTGTTTGTGCCTCTTATATCATGTGTAGGATTTTGGTTTCTGCACCTGGTTTTTTTCGATCTCCTGTGCGTGGTTGTTAGTCTAGACCTTTTAGCTGAAGGAGACACCCTTTTTCGTGTTTGATCAAATAGAATCGAGCAACCATTGGTTTGTTGCGTGTGTGATATCGTTGGTGTTCTTATGTTGTTATTGACAGTAGCTGATTCCTAATTGTGAGTTTGCTGTGGTGCTGCCCACAGCAGAGCTACTGTTCGGTTCGAGCATGGCTGCTCCTGCTGGAAATCCTAGATGTGCTGATATGTCTGTGCTTGACATATGGGGTCGTTCTCTGAACAAACTGTAGTCTGTGTATATTGTGCTTGCACAGGGCGCAAAGTGATCTTTATTCTTGATACAGGTTGTAAATCTCACTTCTAATATTTGCATGATCATTCAACTTCAACCACAGTTTTCAGAGATGCTGCCAGGCCCTATCAGCAATGTTGCTGCCTGAACCTTTTAAATGGAACTGCAGCTTGAATGAAAAAATAGAAAGTATATTTCGGCTCCGAATAGGATGTCATTGGCTAGAATTTACTCTCATTCTGGTGTAAGTAATTATAGTCATTCCAGTATCTACTTGGGAGAAGCAACTATAACACATCCTGCCTAATTCACACCAACAACAACAAAAAATAAACCCAGGGAAGAGGTGGATATGTAATAAACACCATCCAAGTTCCACACTGTTTCCATGCAGAATGCTTTACACGGGGGATCATAGATCACGATGGAGATAGACTGAACTCCATCATCAGTCGATGATCTCTCCTTCTTCACCCTCGGTTTTGACAATTTCTGCAGCAAGATTCTTTCTCTCCCTAGTCAAACCTGTCATTGGTTTCATCTCCAGCTGTTGCTCTTGCTTACCGTTGTAATGATCATGACCATGGTCCTGTCCAGCATTGATCTCCACTGTAAGACTTTCAACTCCTCGCTCGTCGCTTGCTTCTTCAGATTTCCCATCACATGCAGCATTTTCTTCGACTACAACAGTAGTCCCTATGTCATCTTCTTGAACAGCTACCTCGGGAAAACTCAAAGGCTTCCCCGGCGAATCCTTGAAGAAAGAGTTCATCGCCATGAACCGGAAGGCCTGGAGCAATCTTTGGTTGTCCTTCTTTATGTCTCTACTCAGAAGCTTCTCCAGAAGTGTAGGCTGTTTCTTGTTGGCAGCAGGAACGCCTGATGATGTCGAATGATCATCATGGGTTGATGTTGTTGCGTGGTTGCCATTCTTTTGGCCTCTTTTGTTACGTCTTTCCCTTCTCTTATCATGCTTGTTTTGGAACCTCCCTTTCTTTTTCTCCCATCTACCATCTCCCTGTCCAGTAGCTTGCTTGTTTGAGTCCGACAGGTAATGTGATGGAACTTCTGCAACTTCAACTCCTAACTCAGCTTGCTTTGCCAGTACTTCTTTCAGTTGCTGAACCCGATTTTCAAGCCAAATCACAATAGGTTAGGGCATAACAAAACAAGCAGATCAAGAACTTCTTAGCAGTGTTGGAGCAAAATAATTGTGCAGAGGAAGACTGTGGGTTGACTAGTCCCCAGCTCTGATGTAACAATGACCAACTAACCAGAAGAAAAAAAGAAGATAGTGGAGATGTGAAACACCTCACAAGTTTAACCACTACCCTTACAATAATATCACACAAAAGCAAATTCAAACCAATGATGTTCTGTGTCTGTATAACCCAGAGTGCCGAAGCCATCCTAAAATACATAGTTCTCTGGACTCTCTCCCTCTCTTCCTCCCTCCGTTTCTTCCGAAACATAGAAATGAAGCGATCCCCCTAACTAAATATAAATCCAGAGGCCCCTTGCTCTGATTGGGATGCCTTAATAATATGTTTATCTGGTTCATAGGTGTTATAGGAACTAGGGTAGACCAAAATTCGCCAGGTAAAAATTAGAAGTGTACCTCTCGGCGCAGTGCGGCCTCTTTCTCAATGGCCTCAGAGTTTGCCAGCTTTAGAGCCTGCTTCTGCAGTCACCAATATTGGTAAAGATAATCAATATAGTCAAGATGCATGTCAGGTGCGCAACAAGCTTATTATACCTTGTCTACATTGCTTTTCGTTGGGTAATTCTTCTTACGTAGCTCGCACCACTGTTTGACTTCATGTTCTGGATAGTTCACAACAAGAGTCCTTGTGAAGGAAAAAAGTATAGAAGGTCAAAATCTGTTACTTTTATGACAGACAGAAGACAGCATAATGAGAGCTTATAAAAAAGACGGTGCTAGCGCACATTGGAAGTATCCTAGGCTGGAGGTAACACAACAAGTTTCAGTCATATTGTCCTTTGAAACAACTACTCTGATTGGAAAGGAAGCACTTGAGGCCCAAGACAAAGAAGAACCTTTTTGACACTTTAAATGCAGCTTTAATTTCCAGCTCTTCGTCAACCAGGACATGATCACCCAATGAATGTGCTATGAACTAATGGATAACTTCGAATAAAATGCCTAAAGCAAGGCCACTGCAGAACCAATCTCAGCCAGAAATCAAGTGACGTACTTGTTTGTCACCAAAAGAAAGTCCAAGGTATCCTTAATCCTGTGCTATTAACAAATGGATAACTTTCAATAAAATGCCTAAAACAAGGCCACTGCAGAACCAATCCCAGCCAGAAACTCAAGTGACGTCCTTGTTTGTCACCAAAAGAAAGTCCAAGATATCATGAATCATGTTCGTAAAACTCATATATTTACTACTCTTTCTGGCCTTGGATAGCAGGTAAAATAGCAATTTTAATATTAAGGAACAAGGAAATAAAAGATACCTTTTCTTTGCTCCGACTTGACTTGGGGAATTAGTGCCAGCAAATTTCGGAGCCCTCTCATAACCATGCCCTACAAAGCAGCTCAGCACATCAGTTATCATTGATGCCGATAAAGCCAGTCAGGTGACTTCACAAAATTTTGGTACTCACTAGTCATGGTAATTAGTGCCCAGAAAAACACGAATATGTAAGTACAGGCAACGAAGAGATAAATTAAGCGGTACAGCAGGCCAGCGATGTGTCATTAAGGCAATTTTGCAGAATGATTCATGATTGAAAACTAATATTAACCCCGAAATCTATTTCGCAAGAAAAATCTTTAGGTTGCAACTTGCATGTCAACATATGCTTAGGTTCTCTTATATTAACAAGATAGGATGTTTCCTCCATGGAATCCAAGTATGAAGAAGCTGTGATATCATACGTGCTGCACCAGAGCACTATTACGAGCCATGACAAAGGCCATTAAACTCATGTAAGTTCAACGAAAATTTCTAAGGTTAATCGTCTTGCTGGTTTATTATCTTGTCAATGCTTACTACAAAAATATCCAACTCAAAGATCTGTTAGAAGCTAGGTCTCTCTGTCCAGCCAAGGCAAACTCAAAGATCCAAATTCAGATTTGCTGATAAATAGAGACAATCGCATCCAGCATGAAAAGTTCGTAGTATTCTGATATAACATATAACCTAAGTCAAGTGGGAGGTTACCAACCTTTCAACTCAAATTTCCTCTTCTTGTTATCATTGGCAAGGTTCTGGGAATTATTATATCTGCATGTGAGATTTACATTAAAACATGGCCCAAATCTTCAATTAATAGAAATTATTAGTCAAATGTAAGGCGAAAAGTGTGCACCTTGGCTGTGAACCCTCTTTGTTGAAATGTTGCTTGAAGTCTTTCCTAGGAGAGTTTCTCCACTGGGGATTTGTCTTGCTGCCCTGAGCATTTCCATCAAAATTACCCTGAAACAAGTATTTGGCTCACATTAACCAATAGCTCTTTGCTTCAATGTGTTGCAGTAACCCAGATTGCTCAACCAAAATACAATGAGCAAAGAAATTTCCGGTGAAGGGAAATTTTTCAAGTAGTCTAACATATCAAAGACTCCCTTGGTCACGGAGTTGTCATTACTAGGAACCAAACGCCATAAGAAAACTTTAGAAACCAAGAAGAAACGTGGGCAAGCTAATTTTCTGAATAAAGACCAAGTAGTTACCTGCTGTCTAGGGAAGGAGGAAGACTGTGACTGAAAAGCCTGCTCAGCCGCCGAGGGGTTACCCGGTCCCGGCCCTTGCTCGGTGGTCGCAGTTGAGCTATTGGGCATATTTGCACCCATTGGTTGCATCACAAAGTTTTGCTGGTTGGGATTAGGTTGCTGCACGGCACCAAATATTCGATTTGGGAACATGTTTGGATTTTGGGGCACTGGGGGTGGGTGACAATTCGGAGGGATGTTACCAGGACCAACTTGAGGAAGATTTGGAACTTGTAAAGGCATCATAGAATTCATATTCTGCATTTGAGGCGGCGGCATGTTCATGAGACCCACATTTTGACTGAGATGTTGAACCAAACTGGCAAGCTGTTGAACCAACTGCACTTGTTGAAATGGGTTCATTTGATTCGCATACATTGGAGCACCGCCCATATTGCTAGGATAATTCTGCGGCGGCAACCCTGGATTGAACTGTGGAGCCATCATAGGAGGAGCATTGAAGTACCCAGGCTGCTGCATCATCATAGGATGCATATTCGGCATGAACTGCCCATTGCTTTGATGAGTACCGGAATTGTTAAAAGTTGGAGGGTTGATTCCACCAACCGGAGGTTGCATCGGCACTGAACTCTGCATCATAAACGGTGAATTTCCTTGGGAAGGGTTACCTAAGAGACCCTGTTCAGTTTGAAAGCCACGAGTCACCAACTCGCCATTACGATAGCAATCACCTCAGTCAGAAAAAAACAGAAAGCAAGGAAGTAAGCAGAGAACGACAATGGTACCTGTGAATTCCCTGGAGCAGTTGGATTAGCATTAGCATTAGCATTAGCTTGAAGTTGTGCAGGAGGCTGAGGCTGATGTTGAGGCCGAGGACGGAAAGAATTACCAGGTCCAGGATGTCGCATTTTATGGCTAGGAAGTACTGACAGAGAACTGTTGCAGTACTGTAGGGTTTAAGGCTACCGCGGGACGACTGATACGAAAACGAGACAGAGGATGAAAGAGCGGTCAAAACCCAGAAGTAGAATCGTGAGGTTTGAGGGAAGCAGATTGAAGAGAGGGAACTTAGGACTAGGGCAGGCTGGCTGGCGAGAAGAAGAAAGCATCCATGGTTTGTTTCAACGAGGGTTTAAGCCAAGTTTTGATTGATGGCCGCGGTAAAGCTTTATTCTTTTTTCTTCCTCCTTTGCCCTTTTCCTTTCTTTTTTAGTTTTTTTATGATTTATCATTCAAAAAGAAAACAAACAAAAAAAAAATTTGTTCCACAGAACAGAAGCTCTGAAAATCAACCAAATTGACTTCTTGCGAATGCTTCAAGTGCCGCTCGATTTTGACGCTGCCGCCGATTTCATCAGAGCGGCTGGGGAAGCCACTTGGAAATTCGACGGAAGAAAATCCTACCGATCATAGATTTATAGAACCCAGATGGCCGCGGCGCCCCACAACTTCTTCCCGCCGGCGTCTCTCACTACTAGCGGACGGCCGGTCCTCCTTCCCGGTGAGGTTGAATGCCAGCTTCTTTCAGGGGTCGACCTCGAATCTGAAGACAACGCTAGCGGTAGTAACTCTTCCGGTTCTTACGATTTCTCTCCTTTGAAATCGGGCGTACTCATCCTTACAACCCACCGCCTACTCTGGCTGTCCTCCGATTCCAGCAATACAACGGCAATCGCCATTGCTCTGGGATCAATCACCCACATTTTCTCAGCGAAGAAGTCGATCAAGGCCATGTTCCACTCTCCGAGGTTCAGGTTCCAGGTCTCCGTGAACTCCAAGAGTGCCGTTGTTACGGTGGTCGTCAGAGGCAAAGGGGATTGGGAAGCATTCTTTGCTAAACTGTGGGAGAGTTGGAGGGCGAGAGCTTGGGAAACTTCTGATACGGTTTCAAAGGAATCTGGTGGTTCCGCGAGCAGCAGCAGCAGCTTGGTTCCTGCTCCAAGTTCAAGCTCTGGTGGGTTATACTCGAGTGATGGATCGGTGAGGATGGTTGGAGTGGCTGGAATATTGAGGAAGGAGCAAGAAATGTGGGAGAATACAGATAAGAGCTTGCAGGATGCTTTTCAGGACTTGAATGCTCTCATGGTATTGTGTTTCCTTTCTCTTAACATCAACAGAATGTTGCTGACCTTAGTGCTCAGAAAGTTGCGGAGGCAGTATTCAGATGCGACCACCTCCCAAACGTTGGATTTAATATCTGTTCTGAACTTTTGATACTACAGAATCTTTGACATCTTGGTAACTATTCAGAATTTGGTTGAATGAAAAGCTTGCTGCTTTGGATCCTGTAGACTTCCAGCTTCTTGGCTGGGTTTGTTAATGACTGTCATGAATAGTAGGGTCGGTTTTGTTATGGAAGGAAAGGGGAAACTTTTGGAGATGGAAGGATGGAATCTTTAATCTTTATATGTTTGCTTGAATGTGGGTCTTTCAAGTTCAATGTAGAAGGTGATAGCAATGCTCTGTTGTAATCATATCTACCTAGCATCTTTTCATTTAAGCTTACCGATCTGTTTGAGCTTCTTTGTGTTTCTGAATTCACAGAGTAAGGCTAAAGAGATGATGACACTAGCAGAGAAAATGAGGCAAAAGCTTTTGTCTGGTTCAAATTCTCAAACTAGTTCAGGCAATGATGATGAAATGGGCTCCAAAGAGATGCAAGACTGGTTGTTAAGTGTCGGCATCATATCCCCTGTTACAAAAGAATCCGCAGGTGCCCTGTATCATCAGCAATTGTCTCGTCAGGTGGCTATTCCTTTTTCACTTCCTTAATTTTCTATTTACTAATTTTATTAGGCTGTGATTCTGGTTCTCCTGACTAACTTGTGATTGGCCTCTCTAACATGCTCATTGTTTTGTTTTTAGATCTTAAGTGTTTGTTTAACTTTAATTTGCATCCTAGGACTGCGATTGATAGTTCTTTGGCTCTTAGTTGGCAGATTTTGTGAGAGTTCCTCTTGAAAGAGCTGGAGGGATGATCAACCTGATAGACATTTACTGTCTCTTCAATCGTGCTCGGGGCACAGGTAACGTCTTGTTTAGTTTTATGTCCATAAGCATTTCTTTCCAAGATAGATTAATCTCAACCAATGAGCTCTTTCTTAAAGAGAAACTATTTTTACTGTGTTTCTGAAAAATGCAGAGTTGATCTCGCCTGAAGATTTGTTACAAGCCTGCTCTCTTTGGGAGAAGTTTGATGTGTATGTATGACACCAACATCAACTAATGTGCTGTATGCCTATTTGTTTGATTTAGTTATGGTTGCAGTGCTAAAATCTTGCACTACATTGATTTTGAGACCTTGTATCTTGTTTGACAGACCAGTCATGCTTCGGAAATTTGATAGTGGTGTGATGGTCATCCAGAACAAGGCCCATAGTGATGAAGAGGTGATCTCTAATATCCTACACATTCAAGCACTTATGATGCAGATTTAGGTTTTTCTTTGGATTTGTCCTCTTTCTGTTCCATATGCTCCCTCGGGGGAGGGAACAAGTCGCAATCAATGGTCAAGATTATGTTGATGCTTAGGATTCTGGTCTTCCCTGCGAGATTCTTGACTTCTGCATATGCCAACAATGAAGTCATATTCGGAACAACAACATGTTGATTTATTGGCTTATTGTTCATGGCTGTCCTAAATAGATAGCATCCATCCACATGTTCAAAGAGGTTCCAGGATTTCTTACAATACTATTAACTTGTCTGGTTAGGTGTTTGCTCGAATCAAAGCTCTTGTGACAAAGCCAGATGCTTTTACATCTGGGATAAGTGCTAGTGATGCTGCAATGACCTTGGGTATTGCTCCAGCAATGGCCAAAGAGCATCTTCTGTCTGCCGAGAGCAAAGGTATGTCCCAATTCTGTCAACTCTTTTTTTTTTTTTTTTTGAATAACCAATTCTGTCAACTCGCTGCTGAGAAAATCTAAGGTTCCACTGCTGAACTGAAACATGTCACCAGGTTTGCTGTGCAGGGATATCAGCCCTGATGGCTTTCGCTTTTATGTCAACTTCTTTTCTGAGATTGATCCAAGCAACCTGTACCTGTAAGTCCCTGTCAAACTTAGGGTTCTTACGCCTATCTCTATCAACTTGTTGATTATAATTGCACTTCTCCCTTGTCTAAAGTAGCTTGCTGCTGATACCTCCATTTTTACTATTTTGGCTTTTGCTCAAAAATGACGTATAGGGTAAAAGACCATAGTCTCTATTCCGTGTGGATCAAAGCTACAGCTGCTTCTTAGAGATTCATTTCTTCGTTGGTAGAAGGTGAGAGCTGCTGTTTAGAAACCAATTCTTTCCCAATCTTGTTTGGTTATCTATTTACACTACTATCTTTTCCACTTGGGTTTTCGGATGATAGCAAATCAGGAGAATCAATGGCATGTTTTCTTCTACACGTTTCAGGAGGATCCATTAGTCAGACTCCCATCATTGATCGACAATGATTTCTTGTCCATGTTCCCTTCTGTGAGCATAAATGGCAGCAGAGATGAGAATGCACAGAAGAGAACTGGAGGAAGAATCAACATGTGTATTGTCCAATGCCAACCAAGTTTTATAGAGATAGTGTGGCATGTTTCTGCTCCTGTAAACTCTTTTTAATATGTTTGAAACAGTCATGCACCACTTCTCTAACTTTGATGGGGTGATGGGTAGCAGTTGTAGGCTGCATTGCTCTATCTGTTTGCTGTAATCATACTATTTTATGGTTTCTGGAAGGATCGAACAAATTTTGGTACAACATCAACCAATCACATTGCCTAGTTACGCTGAAATAGAACTTATTTACAAAAGTTCTCCGTATCGAGCATGTAATTCATAATCGATACATGTCTATATCAAGGAGGGAACTCTTGTTCTAGCATACTATGTTGTCTCTGATATATGCAATGTCATTCAACTTCAATCGCTGCAATCTCATACTTCACTTCTTCAATATGTTCATTAATGGAAGTCACTGCGTCCTGCACACCTCGAATGGCTTCATTGAGGGCATTGTCGTACTCAGCATTTGCTTCTGCTTCTTCAGTCCCGTCACTCTCTGTTATTTCATGCACGTGCACGCACTGGTGTTCCATGGGCTTCGGAAAACTGCAATTTGCATGGCTCACCAGTCGCTCGGATGGCCGCCCAGCTTTCTTCAACAACTGAATCGTTGCAGTCTGAGCATAGAATAAACAAAAGAAAAAAAATTCCTCAGCAAACAGCGTCCCTAAAACTTTCAGATAGCATAGCAATTAGCAGGTGTCCCCAGACCAAGAAAACTTTGACACAGACTGCTATATAACACAGAAAATCAGATATTGGATAATTATATTACAGTACCAGTTGCAATTTCAGCTTCTCCTGAGTTTGAACAGCTCTGAGCAATTGTGCTAGATCGGACCGGCTGCAATCAGGGTCTAGAAATAGGGCCTCGATTTCACGGACCTGCTCAAGTAGTAACAGCAAACAATTGGGTAAGTGAAACATGCAAATGAGCAGATATCAGAAAGTTTCAATGCAGTCCAAAGCTCGCAAACCAAACTTGTTTTGAGCAGTCGTTGAACTCTGTTGTGATCTCAGTGCAAAGTTTTTGGTAAGCCAGCTCCCCTCCCGAAGCCAGATATTCAGTAAAACCTCTGGCAACGCATACCAGCAAAAAGAGTCAGCTAAGAAACATCAATGGTTTGTTTCATTATCTAGTATAAGTATATCATCATCATTCCCTGCAACAATATTCTAAGCAAGACCACAATCAAGCCCACACAAAAGGAAACGATTCTAAATAGTAAATATACCACTGTGACGGAATTCGTTCAGTTTTCAGGCCCACCTCTGAATACTAGAGTTACCAAGTTTCGAAGAAATTAATCTGGAGAGCTGTAACACTCCCCAATACATCCTAGTAAATTCAATAGGCAGGTAAAGAGGAGGTTTCATGCTCCCAAGTCCGGGGAAAAGCACGCCCTCGAGAAGTTAGCGAGACATCCATCCAAAAACAACGATCTCGCTAGCTTCATGCTCGTAACATTCTATCAGCATGGACGTTATTAGCAAGAATTCCAGACAAAGTGGACAGAAGTTAAAATCTGTTCCAGGTAACTATTTTGTAATTCCATTTTAATTAATTCGGTCATATAGTTCACCAATCTGAACATAGTAACCAATTTATTAGTTCAATCAGATGGCATGGTTTACTAGAGTGTACATGTATCCTCCTAAAACAAACCAAAGCCATTAATCGGTGCTTCTTGTTTCCTCCTGGCTATGTGCCTCTGGTTCATTCATTATGGAGGTGATTATGTACTCAAAAACGAATTCATCTCAATCCACGATACCTCCCAATCCGTCTGCAGCTATGACCAGAAGCACAAAACATCAAAGTGTTTTCAGCCCAAGCAGTCATCATCAGATCCCATAACATTAATTTACTTACTAGGGAACCCTGCCTCAAATAAGTAACATCAGAAACAACCTTGACCCTAATTCCTTGACACTACCCAGCAAAACCCTAATACATGAACTAAAGGGCACCATCCATATACCGAGTATTCTATAGACCAATCAACCCGGAGATCCACCCATAAAAGTTGAAAGAGACAGATGAAAAGGGTTCGTTCACTTCACTTTCTCAGGAACCCAACAAGGTGCGCAGTCAGGGAAATAGAAACGAAGAACAAGCAAACGATCGGAAAGATTGGCGAAAGTACCGTTTGAGGGTGGCATAAGCTTGGGCTCTACGTTGCTGGATTTGAAGGAATCTGCGGAGCAAGAGTAGGGTTTGCGAGGAATTGGAGCTCTTAGTCACACCATCCGTTTCCATTGAATCATCAGCCAGTGACACCTTCCGCTCGAAATCTTCCATCTTCCTCGCCCAGTTTTCTCCCTTCCCTTTCTTCTGCGGCCTGTCCCGTTTCAATTTTTCTATTTTTGTATCGCGCTTCTTGGCTTGGCTGGATACTGGGCTTAGTCACTTAAATTCGCAAATTGACTGAGTGTCGTAATTAGGATTTAGGTGGAGTCATTTGCCATTTTATTAGTTTACAAAATGAGTTATTTTGGGGGGTTGTTAATTGTCTTTAACCTTCTCTTCTTTTCTTTTTATGGTTAAAAAAATATTTAATAACACGTTAAATCATTGGTGTGTCGACATATTGAGTGGCGATAGATGGAGGGCGTTGGTATAATCAAGGTAGGACATACAATACGGGCCTGGATAGTATAACAACACCTTAAGTGTTGTTATACTAACAACAAGATTCATTAAGGGTATAAGGGTAAACTAACCTAAAATATAATTAAATTAAAATTAAATTAAAATATCTCAAAGGTGTTGTTATACTAACAACAAGATTCATTAAGGGTATAAGGGTAAACTAACCTAAAATATAATTAAATTAAAATTAAATTAAAATATCTCAATTCCCAGATCACTCTCGATCTCCTCCCCTACCTTTCTCTATCGCTTCTCCTCAGACCTCTCTTCTGCCGCAGTGCCGCGCCAAGGTTACCTGAGCTCTTAGCAACAGCGACGACCTATTGTTTCTGGGATTCTGCCACTCCGGTGGGGGAGAGATCAGCAGGGAAGTTGAGTGTTGGGGCAGGCACAATTGGAACGGATTGGGGACGCGGACGGGAATCCTCGTCCGATCTCCAGCACGACATCTGCCTGAATTCCAGCACGTCCGGCCGCAGCCTCACCCGCTCTCCCTTGTCGCACCGGATCTCCCTTGTCGCACGTCCGGGGATCGGCACATACAGCTTGTTGGAAACCGGAGAGGTAGATGGCGAGGGAGCACTCGTCGACGCCGGGGCAGAGCGCCTCCATGGTGACGTCGGTGATCGCCGGAATCACCATGATCCCCGACACCGCCGACAGGAACACCGTCATCAAAAGGTGCCCGAGCTCCCCCATCTCCTCCATGGATTATATATATAGCCGGTGGAGTACTGAATTAGCTAGGAAAGTTAAGCTGAGAGAGGGGAAAGCTTTGAAGTGGAAGACGAAGTGTAGGAGCTATAGCTAGCTGGTTCAATTGTTATTCTTATGTATATAAAAAAGCATAAAGAGATACAGAAAACTGGAGTGAGTGGATTAATTGAAGCTATATTACTACTGGAGCTGTACTCGATTGGAGCTGCTAGTTTCATATATGGTTTCATTTTGCCAATTATACATGCATTATTAGTAATATGAGACCTCCTCACAAAAACATACAAAAAACGTATCTAAAGCATACTCGAGAAATCTCCTAATGCAGACCATAAATAGGGAAATCAATCCAAAAAAGTATACCAGAAATCTCCTAATGCGTTCAACAAATTGCCTGAAACAAACCAGAGATCCCATAAAGCAACCACAAACTGTTCGAAAGCACATCAAAAACCTCATAATGCAAACCACAAACGCCGTAAAGTAAACAATAAAAAAGCAAACAAAAAACGTCATAATGCAGACCACAAATATATTAAAACAAACCAGAAACCTCGCAAAGCAAACCACAGAAGTTTCGAAAGCACACCAGAAACTTCTTAATGCAAACCAGAAACCTCCGAATGCGTACCACAAATCTCCTAAAACAAACCAGAAACTCCACAATGCAAACCACAACATTTGTGAAAGCACACCAGAAACCTCATAATGCAAACCACAAATACAGTAAACCAAACCACAAAAAAGCAAACCATAAACGTCTTAATGCAGACCACAAATATATTAAAACAAACCAGAAACCTCATAATGCAAACCACAAAGTTTTTGAAAGCAAACCAGAAACTTCTCAATGCAAACCACAAACATGATAAAGCAAACCAGAAACTTTTTAATGCAAACCACAAACACGATAAAGCAAACCACAAAAGAAATACAAAAATATGAGAAACCAAACCATAAATCTCACAATGCAGACCATAACATCCGGTGGTTGTTGGTCGTTGACCGGTCAACGAAGACCGTTGATCGGTCAACGAAGATCGTTGACCAAACTCCGATGACCGTCAGTGAGTAGATTCTGGCGCCGATAGGCATATTCCGGCCCCGATGACTAGATTCCGACGTCGGTAAGCATATTCCGACGCCGGTAAGCATATTCCGGCGACAGTGGCATATTCCGATGATAAACTAGCATATTCCGGCGACGAAAAGCATATTCCGGTGACCGGCGACCATTTTCCGGCGACCGGTGACAGAATTCCGGCGACCAAAATTTTGGGCCGAAAAAATTAAAAAAATATATATTTTATATTTTTTTATTATTTAAATATATTTTTCATAATGACAATTATACCCCTGCTTTGATTTTACACTAGGTCAACTCATATAATAAAAAGTCATCACAACCCTAACTTCCTATTGGTTGGAGACTAGTGTTGTTACAATAACAACACAAGGAGTGTTGTTACCGTAACTGGTCCCCATACAACACTATAGTGTAAGAAATTATCTTCATTTTAAGTACTTTCTACTAAAAACAATACTTTTTTTTATAAAGTTAGATTGATCTATCAATGTTTCGGTCACTCGTGCGGGAGACACTTAAAAATTAGGGTGTGACGATCAAAGGAGTTAGTGTGGTCTTGTACTCTTGTTTCAATGAAAGAGGAAAGTCTTTCGAACATTTTCTTTTCCCCGCTCACTAGGTCGGAGATTCCGAGAAGAGACTCAGCTTTTGGAATGTTATCCCAACAACTATTTGCTTCTTCTTCGGGGTATAGTGTGTGTTATATCCGGTTGGGATGATAATATGGTAGCTCATTGTCCGGTGAGGAAAATTCTCAGTTTTGACTTTTGCTATTGAATTCGATCTTTTCAGCATTAGTCGCATATCTGATGAAGCCACGTAAAAAACGAGTGCGCTTTGAAGGCAAAAAAAACACATTACTGTATTAATAGGAAATTCACTTGGTAAAGAAAATACTTCATACTAAAGGATTTGGGTTCATAATCATATATGTTCGAATGTATGAGATATTGTTGCATTTATCGGTGAACAACTATCACATAGTATTGCACAGAATAAATCAATGCCAAACACTAATATAATTCGACTTGCTTTTTATAAACAAACTCGAAATTTGCGATACTAGGTAAGATTTTAGAAAAAGAAAAAAAAAATATTTCCATATCCCCAAAACCAACTTGGCGCGCAATAAACGAAAAGCTGCCCCAATCCAAAATAAATCTCTTCCCCCTTTTCCATCCACTTCTCTTCCCCGTCACCGTCCATTTCACTCTCCGACCACCAAAACCCTAAAACCCCTACACCAAAAAACCTCCGTCACTCCCCGTTTCCCACCACTCGTCGTCCCTCTCAGCTCCTTCAATCTTCCATGGCATGACCCCTTCTGCTTCTTCCTTCACTGTCCCGTTCCTCGATTCCATGGCTCTTTCCTCCACCCTCCGCTTCTCTTCTTCCCTCTTGCAGCACCACATTCCTCACTCCCCCGCGCGATTCGCCTTCCTCCGCCACCATTTCCGTTCCCTCTCTGCATTCCCCTCTGCCGGGACCCGCTTCCGCCCCCTCCAGGCGCGCCGCAGGGACGACGCCGAGGGCCAGAACGGGACCCTGCTGGTGAAGGATTCCGATGGTGGTGGCAGAGATGGGCGCGTGGTTCCTACCGAGCTTCACAAAGAGGCCACCGAGGCCTACATGTCCTATGCCATGTCGGTTTTGCTTGGAAGGGCTTTGCCAGATGTGAGGGATGGGTTGAAGCCCGTTCACCGGAGGATATTGTGAGTAATGTTTGGTGGTTTTATTTTCTTCTGTTCTGTTCTGCTCTGCATTCCCTTTCTCCCAAATGTTGTCCGGGTTAAGGAGTTGGAATTGAGAGTGTGAAAGAAAGGCGGAGTAAGACTTGTGTGCTGGGTTAACTTTATCATGCTCTATTATAATTGTTCCGAACTCCGACTGCAGATTTGCCATGCATGAACTGGGTCTCTCATCTAAGAAGCCGTTTAAGAAGTGTGCTAGAGTTGTTGGTGAGGTGGGAAAGCTCTTTTCCTTTCTTATTAGACGAACGAGTCTTGCATTTCTATTTCCCATTCAGTATGATTCATATATGGAATCAGGACTTAAGCTTTCGGTTCGTTGTTGCAGGTGCTTGGTAAGTTTCACCCGCATGGAGATAGTGCTGTCTATGATGCATTAGTGAGGATGGCCCAGGTAAATTCCTACACGCCAAATGTTTTTGTTTCACGGCCCGTGAACTCTTTTGCTGGGTGCCCTCTTTGTTGGGTTGAAATTTGAATGGGGTATGGTAACCCCAGTGCCAATCCATTTTACAATGCTATTCTATTTATAAGTTCTATTATGTGATGCTCTTCAGACGATGAACTGTGACTGAGAGTCCCAAAACTAGATTTAGTCGTATAATTTGTTCCTCTTGGTTACCTTATGCAAAAGCAGTCTGACCAAAGACTTTGATATAATTCTGGCATGCATGGATTTGGTATCTCACAGAATGTTTACCAAATAGTATGTGTTAACTGAGAGAATCCTCATTGCGTTTTCATTAATTCCTTAAGCTTCAACTGCAATGCTTTACATCCATTTTTCAAGTGAGTGATTGCTATGAGTTGTATGCTTATATGTTCATTTGGAAATCCTCCTCCACTTGATCCAGGATTTTTCGTTAAGGTGTCCACTTATCCAAGGCCATGGGAATTTCGGCTCCATTGATGCAGATCCAGCTGCTGCTATGCGTTATACAGAATGCAGGCTGCAAGTAGGTTAAGTCTTTGCTTTCCGTGTCAGTAGATTTGTGTCCAACTGTATTTGTTAGATTCAACTATGTTAGCAGCTGGCACAATTATTTTCTATGACTATATTTCTATAGTGCTATCCCAAGTTGAAATCAAAGTTGAGAAATAACTTATTCTTTCAACTATTAGAAGCATTATTTTATCTGCATATTCCATTGTAGGCACTGACGGAGGCAGTTTTGCTGGCTGATCTGGAACAAGATACGGTAAGAGCTAGCTTTCTATTTACAGATGCTTGTCTTATGCTTAGGTGCTCAGAAAATTGTTGACCTGCACCTTTTTCTTGAACAAATTTGCAGGTTAATTTTGTGCCCAATTTTGATAATTCCCAAAAGGAACCGTCACTTTTTCCAGCTCGTCTTCCAACTCTGTTATTGAATGGTTCTTCTGGAATTGCGGTAACTTAGCTATATTTATGTTTTTACTGCGGTGGTTCCTCAGAGGCATCTACTTGTTATTGATAGTAGCTTTTCACATTTGCTAGGTTGGCATGGCAACCAATATTCCTCCCCATAACCTTGGAGAGCTGGTCGATGTCCTATGCACTTTAATTCACAACCCAGAAGCCACTGTAAGTACTAACTAGATGCATTATTATTTTTCCGGAATATCCATTCCTACAGGAAGCATTGGCCAAGCCATGTTGTGTTTAGTTCCAATAAACCTTTCTCCCACCTCTCACTTTACTAATTAAAGGAGACTGAAAAGAATCAACGTAGTTCCCAATACAGTGTCAGTGGACCATTATGGAATCTCTTTTGTCATGCTGAATCTGCTGATGGTGAACCTGAAAAATCCTGAGTTATATTTCTGATTGGAGATGCATCTTGTTGATGGATAATGACTAAACTTTGAGCTGTTGTGCTTCTACTCTCATGTGATGTGAGTGTATGGGGTTTAGGCGGAATGTTCCTTTTCCAGGGAAGAGCATCTCCCTGGAAGTTTGTTTTGGTAGAATTCTTCTTTGTGTCGGGAGATGGGAGCCTTGGTTATGATTTGTGTACTTATTGAACAAGTTTCTGGATTTAAACAGCCAGCGATCCTCATAGTTGAGATGAGATAGTGGGCGAATTTTGAGATGCTGTTTCCTTGTTCAGTTTGTGTGTGTTGATATAGTAGGGAGATAAGAAAGTGATCCCTTCCTCTTAGAAGTGCTGGGACTATGTAAGGATTGTGTCAATTATTTGGAACAGTGATTATCCTGAGCTTGGTGCTTTCTAGTTGTTTAGTCTGATCGTACATGCTGGTTAGCTAAATTGTTTAGTCTTATCGTATTGGATAAATTGTTGCTATCCTATTGCCAACTTCAGCATAAAATAGATTTCCTTACTGTTCATTCAGCTTACCATCTGTGTTTCTTTGACAGTTGCAAGAACTCTTGGAATACATGCCAGGGCCTGATTTCCCTACTGGAGGTCTAATTATGGGAAATCTAGGGTATGAGGAATTTTAATTCTGACTTTGTGCTTTCAAGCATTGACTCGATTCATTGCCCTTGTTTTTTCTTCTTCTTTTGCTGCTAGAGAGATCCCCTAGATTTTTTACCATAGTATGCATGAGATTTTATTCCTAGTGTGGTATTTTCCAAGCATAGTGTATCTTGTTTAATATCTTTGTGAATGAGTATAACTTAGGATCATTGTCCAACTATACCACCTGTATTAAATGAGAAGGTTCCTGATATATGGCTCTCCGGTAAAGGATCTTGGACGCTTATCGTACTGGACGTGGGAGAATTGTAGTCAGGGGTAAAACAGAGGTGGAACTTGACTCCAAAACAAAGCGGTCTTCTATTATTATAAAGGAGGTAAACATTATAGTTCCTTGGATATTTTATCTTTATTATTGTGTCTGTCTGTTCTGTTCCTTGCTGAATAATGGTTTCCATCCAAACAGATTCCATATCAAACGAACAAAGCTTCGCTTGTGCAAAAGATAGCTGAACTAGTGGAGAACAAGGTACTCTTTTGTTGCCTATAAGGAATGTACCACACTAAACCAGAAAGTTAAGAGTTTGTTAACATGCTTTATACATCGTCATCTGTGTGCCATGAGGCATAGAGAGAAGCCAAGAAGGGTAATTGAAAGAGATCTTATGCTTTTGTAGTTTTTTTTATTATAGCATGAATTTTGATAACTACTGATTTATGAGTCCAGAAACTAATGTAATTGGCATTTCTAATTCCTTTCCTTTGACATTTGAATTTACAGAGTATAGATGGCGTAACTGATATCCGCGATGAAAGTGATCGTACTGGTATGCGTATTGTGATCGAGGTATAATAAATATTTGCGAAGAGTGTACTTTAAGGGGGGGAAAGTACTTCACGTTGCTCTATATTTTGAGACTTACATTACTTCCTTTCAAATTGCAGCTGAAACGTGGAGCAGAACCAGCGCTTGTTTTGAACAAACTTTATCGTCAAACTCAACTTCAATCTAGTTTTAGCTGCAACATGGTTGGGTGAGTAGTTTCATTGTCTTAAAGAAATTCGCATGAAATCTGGTGGTTCTTATTCTATTATACCTTTTAACTTCAACTGGTTAAACCCATTAAGTACATAAAGGATTGTTTGAGAGTTGAGAATGGACTTCATTCTTTTTTACGCGATGTCATCAGCCAATGACCATTTCACGTGTTCTGCATAGTGAAATGTATTGTATGGTTGACCCTAACTAAGTTTGGGACTAGTGCATTTTTATTTTTGGAAAGTTTGTCAGCTCATGGAACTGGATTCTAAAATCTGCTTTAATACTTTTGAACTTCTCAATGTCTCTTATTGCACACTTTTTGTATGGAGGAGAGAGAGTAATGAGTTTGAGCATGTTTTAATAGATGGAAGAGCATGATGATTTTAATATTAGTTGCTTTACATGGGTGGTCGCTCTTGCGTGTTTTTTTGTGGGTGTACAATTTTCTTTTTCTAACAATTTGCTTAATACTCTCATGATTGGTGGTCTGGCAAAGTATTCTGGATGGACAACCTAAACTGATGGGGCTGAAAGAATTGCTTCAGGTGATTTCTCACACATTGTTTCATTGGAGAAGTCAATGTTCTTCTCACACATGTTTTATGCTTTACCAGTTTCAGAAAATATTGTGGGTGTAAACCTACTCTTGTTTTGCCCTTGCCAGGCATTTTTAGAGTTTAGATGCTCTGTTGTTGAGCGACGTGCGCGGTTCAAACTTTCACAGGCTCAGGAGAAGAGACACATTGTTGAGGTATGCTAGGTGATTGCCTTGTTAGTTAAACCATGGTATTGTCATGGAATATACTACTAACTGCTTCTTTATTAGCCAACCCGAGATGTCTACCTTGTCATGTACTTGTGTTTGATCTAGTTTCTTCATATGGAAGAGTGATTTTCAGGAAAGATATTAAGCTGATTCACTTCCATTATCCTGTGGTTCACTTAACGCTTCTATGGGTTGATGGACTTATAGTGCCGTTTCTTCTCAGGGTATCGTGGTGGGCCTTGATAATTTGGATAACATTATTCAAATCATTAAGGAGGCTTCCAGCAATTCAGCTGCATCTACTAGTCTAATGAATGGTATGCTATGATTTGTCATTTATTTCCTACTGCCGCCTTAAACTTCCAGTCATTGAGTCTCTGAACTTTACTGCGGTATGTATGCAGTTCCAATTTTGTTATGTTTTCATATAAACAAAAATGACAACTTGTTTGCTCTCCTTCTTGGTTAGGAATTTAGAGCTTTTTTCTTCCTACTGTTGGGGACTTATTGGGTAAAGGGGAGGAGAAAAGGTTTAAGCACAATATTTAACCTGGATTATGGTTGTCCTGAAATGTTTTCTGGAGCCTTTAACTGTCCCAAGTTTCTGCACATAGTTTTATTCCAGGATCTTCTTTTCAGTTTACCCTTTCTTTGATTACTTGTGAACTTTGGTTTCATGCTACAGTGAAGACTAGTTATTTTGACCTCAAATTAGACGGTAGAATTTCATCTAGAGTTTGGTTAAGTTGAAGAGTTGTACATGACTGGACTGACCTGATATATCGGTATAGCATGCATAGCTTATATGCATGTTTTGAATGACTAAAGGTGTTGATATATGTGTACTTCAGACAGCATGATGTTGTTCTCAGAATATGATTGTATGTTGTCATAAATCTCTTCTATTTGTTCATGAGTTTATGTCATTTTGATGCGGTACCCGTTGCATTATTTACTTGACCTTGTTAAATCTTTACCAAGAATTTTGGGTAATTGATCTTTTTCTTTATTTGTTTTCTTCTATTACAGAATTTAATATCTCAAGTAAGCAAGCAGAAGCTATATTAGATATAAGTCTCCGAAGGCTCACCCATCTGGAGGTGGATAAATGATGCTTTGTTTCTTATGGTTATATTTGTTTTAAAACCAGATATTTCAGTTATCATCTGAAGGCAACTGACACCTTTTTGTGCAGAGAAGTAAATACGTTGATGAAAAGAAATCTCTAACAGAACAAATCTCAAAATTAGAAGAACTACTAGCAAGCAAGGGGAAGATGCTACAGGTACATGCTCCTATTTGTCCAGTTTTTATTCCTCATTAATAGTTTCTCTGGTAAATAAGTATTATTGAACCTCCTATAAACCCTCTGTTGTTCTATGCGCCAGCTGATAGAACAAGAGGCTGTTGAGCTCAAGCACAAATTTTCAAACCCAAGGCGCTCTATGTTGGAATATTCGGATGACGGTCAGCTTGAAGATATAGATTCTATTCCAAATGAAGAAATTCTATTGGTTTGTGACATTATGAATCCTTCATTTTGTTGATTTCTTATGCTCTTTTGAATGAACTCATTTAATACATCAATAATAGAAGTACTTTTTTTTTTATAGTAGAACTTGTACTTAGACATAGTACATGATGTGTGTGTGTATTGTTTTGATTAGGTTCCAGCAGAAATGACTTTTTTTTCTTAAGTATCTTTGTTTGTGACTTTCAGGCTATCAGCGAAAAGGGTTATGTTAAGCGGATGAAGCCCAACACCTTCAATTTGCAGAAACGTGGAACCATTGGCAAATCTGTCGGAAAATTGAGAGTCAATGATGCAATGTCAGATTTTGTGGTCTGTCGATCACATGACCACATTCTTTATTTTAGGTAATCACTCAACGCTGTTTGTCATGCTTTATATGAATATTTTCAGTTGAGTTCGCTAATGTGAATGTTTGGTACACATAGTTAAATATTGCTTGTTGCACCGAGTTTTGGTCTCTGGCGAAAACGGTGGGGTTCTGATAAGTTCTGCTGCCTAATGTATGTTCAATATTATTCACATAATTCTTTGTATGGATAGGTTTTCTGTTTGTTATGTTTTATTGACCCATTTACTGCACTCAACAACAAGATATTCTCATCATATGCTCAGTAAATCTGAAGTTGTTAAGATGACTCATTGACTTTACTTTTAGATTGCTTGTTTGTGCTTAGTTCTTAGTTTGTTGTCTGGTTCTTACAGCAGTAAAATCCCTATGCACATATTTTACTGGCACACTGTCGATTTGATAAGTTGATTGATTTATATGTATAATGTCAACGTTTTGTAAAAATAATGGCAGATGAGTTACTGATCATTGCTGGTATATGTGGCATTTCTTTTGATAATGGGTTGGTCTATATATTTTGATCATGATATTTCATTGAGCCATAAACGTAACCTTACTTCTGCAGTGACAAGGGTATTGTCTACTCATCACGTGCTTACAAAATTCCCGAATGCACCAGGAGTGCTGCTGGTACTCCCCTGGTACAGGTAATGTAGTAGTCTTGTGCTTTGTTTACTATTTAATTATTTTCTGATGACTGACCCTACTGTTTGTGTCATCCTATGGATACAGATATTATCATTATCAGAAGGTGAGAGAATAACGTCCATAATTCCTGTGAGTGAATTCACTGAGGATCAGTATCTACTGATGCTCACAGTCAACGGGTACATCAAGAAAGTATCACTGAATGTCTTCTCAGCTATACGCTCAACTGGAATAATAGCCATTCAATTGGTTTGTATCTTGTGTGCTCCTTGTTCTGTTTCTCTGCAGTTGATTCACATATTATTTAAGCAAGCTGAAACGGGTAACATGTCAGGTTCCTGGTGATGAGCTGAGGTGGGTCCGCTGTTGCACAAATGATGATCTTGTTGCTATGGCTTCACAGAATGGATATGTCATCCTAAGTTCCTGTGACAAAGTATGCGGCCGTTTCTCTCTGTTATTCGGTGATCATTGAACTCATTACTTGATCTTTAAGCTTTTATGTGGTCAAATTGATTAAGAAATCATAACACTTGTATCTGTTTCATGGCCAAGCCCGACGTTTTGCTTTACTCATAGTGTCGGGTAATCTCAGGCCTGAATTTATGTTAAGCATAGCGGATCACCTGCTTGTAACTATGCTTTTAAGTGTACTCTGGTTGCTCTGCATTCACTAACCTGTGTTATGCACCATTTCAACAAATCAGATCCGGGCACTAAGCAGAAATACTAGAGGGGGAGTGGCCATGAGGCTAAAAGAAGGCGATAAGATGGCTAGTGTGGACATCATACCAGCTGCCATGAGGGAAGACTTGGAGAGGGCGTCGGTAGATCCAGCGAACAAGTAATTCCCGGATCTAATGCCATGTCATTTTTTTTTATCATGCTCACTGCTAGGTGCTAGTGACTTGTTTCTCCACAAGGTTAACTATCCATTGATTATGTTTCTTATCCGGAGAATTAACCTTTGTGTCTTCATTCACATGCCATGGTTGATTGAGAATATGTGAGGGATACATTTAGCAATTTAGACTGACATGTTATTTTGACTCTGCTTGTGTGTACCACCACAAGACTGTTTTAGCTTTCAGACAGATGGTCAGGTTAGGAGTCAGAGTGAAACCTTTGTTTCTATACTTATTGTAGTTTGCTAATTGTTCTCTGTCAGCAGCAAGGGCAGTGGTCCGTGGTTGTTGTTCATCTCTGAGAGTGGTCATGGGAAGAGGGTTCCTCTGAGCAGCTTCAACATACTTCCTCTGAATAGAGTTGGTTTGATTGGCTCTAAGGTGGTCTCTGCTGTCTTTTCTCTTCTTTTCGTTTTGCATTTTAGTTAACATGTCATTTCATCGAGCAATATCTTCTGAAAACACAACTCATGATGCCCTGAACTAATGTCAGTTTTCGGAGGAGGAGGGGCATTTGGCAGCAGTCTTTGTGGTTGGTTTCTCACTAGCAGGTATGCAGTTGATTCATTGGTCCATGCTCAGGGACAGCATGCTCTTATGCTTTGTATGTCTATGGTCTCCCATCTGAACAGAGTGCTGAAGTCTTTCCTGTTCTATGTGTACAGAGGATGGTGAAAGTGTAGAAGAAGTAGTTCTAGTTAGTCAAAGTGGCACCGTCAATCGAATCAAAGTCCGCGACATTTCAATACAGTCACGCTATGCAAGGTATAAATTATGTGGCATCGAGTCTTGTATCTGCCTCAACCGCATCGTCGGTTCAAATACTAGTCTCTCTGCCTGCCAATCCTGTCGTGAGATTCTCGCAAGTGGTTTGTGTGTCGAATTCAATCAAACTATGAGTGTTTGTTTTCCTAGGGGAGTGATTTTGATGCGGCTAGAGTATGCGGGAAAGATTCAATCAGCCTCATTGATGTCTGCGACGGAGGCTGAAGCAGACGATGAAACAACAGGAACAACAATAGAAGATGAAGCAGCAGGGCCTGTTCTGATGGCTTCCCAGTGATCCTAATTTGGAAATGCGGTGACGAACTTGTACAGCGGCTCCTTTTGTAAGTTGAGTCATGTGTACTTTTCCGGATACACACTCTCTAGTGTAGTCAATAACTAGTCATTTTAATGTTATATGTATGGTGATCTTACAAGTAGGAATGAAGATGGGCAGGTACGGGCGGGTATCTTGATATTCATACTCGTCCCGTAGCAGGTCGGGTCCAGGTCGGGTAATTTATCACAGAGCGCGGGTCGAGGCAAGTCGACTTATTGGAAATCTAATTTATGTGAAAAACATTAGAAATATTTGTCATTTTCATTAAAAGACCAAGAAAGAAACTATAATATCATAAAATATAGTTAAATTATTTGAGAAATTAAGGTTTTCACTTATTTACAACTTTATATAGCTAAAATATGAGGTAATAAGAGGAAGATCCTAAATAATTTGACGAAGAGTACATGTAATTTAGGCAAGAACGGGTTAAGAATGGGGCGGGTTGAGGCAGGTTGGGTCAATGAGAGATACTCATGCCCGCCCCGTCTCAAAATAGGCCAAACAGATCGGGTAAAACGGGTCAGGTAGAAATTGTCATCCCTACTTACAAGCAGTGTCCATGAAACCGTACCGTACCGGCGGTTCAACCACGAAATACCAGTATCGGAGGCTAAACTGGTAGGCGGTATTTACCGGCATAACGGTTGAACTACGGTTAAATCACGGTTTTACCATAAAATACCCTACCGCTGACTTTCCCGGTACGATTTCGGTACGGTTTCTGTGAGAACTCCGCTTCTAGGGATTCTCGATACTGATCTTCGGCACTCGTGAGAATTAGAGATTTAGGGTTGAGATTAGGGATTAGGGATTTAGACGAGAAGAACAGAATAGAATTGGGAATTGGCCGAAGCCTTGGACTAGGATGAGACGAGAAATTAGGAGTTGGGAGGAGAGATTAGGGTTTAGGAGACTTTGCTTAATATTCTTCTTGATTGCCTATGACGTAAACCCGAAGTACATATATATAGGAAATACTGGAAAACCCTAACGAATAACCTAATTGGACTAAATCTCTACTAACCATAATAATAATTATCCTACCTAATATAATAATAGAAACTCCAATAAATGTGTTTCTCACCGTTTCATGGACCATGCTTACAAGACCAATGGTCTGGAGTGGAGTATTGACCCAGAAGGGTGAAAAAATGGGAGGCGTAAACCCACGTTAAATCGGAAAAAATCCCAAACTACACGTTATTAAAAAAAATTCTCAAAATACATATGTTATAAAAATTATTCCCAATCTACACATGTTTTGACTTCACCGCGGCCGTCAACCGCAGTGAATAACATCACCGCGGCCGTCAAAAGCGGTGAACGCTTCATTGTCACGGTCGGAAGTGGTGAATTCTTCCTAGCCATTCACCGCTTGTGTTCAAAGCGGTGATGGCCTAATTGGGCTTAATTAAATTGTTGGCCCAAAAGCACAGCCTCCGGCGTCGCAACAGGACTGTCGACTATCGGTGGTAGTGGTGAGTGGTGAGTTTGAGATCATACACAGCAACAGCCCTGCGCTTACTACACCTGTCATCGCATGCACTGATCAATAGTGTGAAAATTAAAGTGGTGAGGAAGGGCTCTCCTTTTCACCCTAATTTCTCTAAAGTTAATATTTTGATTGATGGTGACCTGACCAGGATCCGAAACAAGAAAAGAAAAAAAAAAGAAAAAAGTTACTGACGATGGTCGATGGTGATCGAACACCAAACACCCACTTCGTATGTACGAGGACAATCACCTTATTTTCACTTCGATGATCGGTAGGGTTTCCTTGTGGAAAGTTGTTCTCTTTTTGGAGAATAGATAGAATTTGATTATGAACACATGCAAAACAGAGAAGCCCATCGAACAAGAAGCTCAAAGTCCCACCAAAAGCAAAACAGAGAAGAAACTCAAAGGATTGAATTGATTCACCTAATATTTGGCCTCGCAAGTAGCAAGTTGGTGGTCGCGTGTGTAGGTAATCGTCCATATCGGCTACCCCGCCGGAACCCTCTACGGCTATGCCGCCGACTCCAACATCATCCTCCATCCCTTCTCCGATGGATTCCGTTCTGTCCCCCCACCGACAGTCGCGCCTAGTCTTTCTCCAAGAGTTTTCTCCCCCGCCGCGTCACCGCCTACACCAATTTCTGCCACTCCCACCACGGCTCTAGAGATTGCACCTGCGCTGGGTCCTGCCGCCGCTGCTCCACCGATAGTCGACAGTCCTGTTGCGACGCCGGAGGCTGTGCTTTTGGGCCAACAATTAATTAACCCAATTAGGCCATCACCGCTTTGGACATCAACGGTGAATAGCCAGAAAGAATTCACCGCTTTCGACCGTGACAGTGAAGCGTTCACCGCTTTTGACGGCCGCGGTGATGTTATTCACTGCGGTTGACGACCACGGTGAAGCCCAAACATGTGTAGATTGGGAATATTTTTTTATAACGTATGTATTTTGAGAATTTTTTTTAATAACGTGTGTAATTTGAGATTTTTTCCCGTTAAATCTAGGTGCCCTTCTATAGGCCAAATAGTTGCCTTTCGCAAGCTGGGAAAGGGACTAGGCGACTTGGTTGGAATTTGAGAGTGTGATGACAAATTGATTGGATAGATCGGTGAGTCAATAGGTCAAATGGATCATAGATTGTATTATAGATTCAAATGGCGTCTGAATATTGCACCAAATATGAAATTTTTAAAACTTTAGGTACTAAAACATCATAATAAAAATATTTTATGTACCAAATTGTAATATTTCATTGATATTTTATATTGCAACGGGCACCAAAATGTAAAGCATAAAAGCGTAAGCACTAAATTGTGATTTATCAATATTTATGAATTCAATCTATGAATGAGCCCCACCAATCCAATTGGATTTGGACTAAATGTATTGGATTATCGGACATTTTAGTGGATGGATTAGATCCATCGATTGGATACAAAATTGCCACCACTATGAGTACGTGTTCATAAAGGTTAAATGATGACGGATAAGATAATCATACATATGCGGTCTGATATCAGTTAATCAGCAAAATCCATTTTTCACGATATTTGATTATTCTCTATAAAAAATGTATTGGAAACAAAATATATCATATAACTATAACAAAAAGAGATTAGCATATGTTGTGCCACATGACTAATACAATAATCATAACAACAAAAGAGGAAGGGACCCAATTGGGAGGTAAAATTAGACTAATCTCATTTAGCCTTAAAATACAAGGCGTGTCTCACAACGGCGATGACGCAAGACCTTGGCATCATTAACCTCCGCCAAATCCTCTCATAGATCCCCCATTATATTCTTCATTATCTCCCACTAGGATGGCATTGGGTCGGGTTGGGTCGGTTTTTGCCAAATCCAAACCCATGGGCTTATTCGTGAAAAAAATCCAGGGTAAAACTCACTCGGTTTGGAAAACTGGAACCCAACCCAACCCTCAGGGTATCCGCGGGTTCATGGGTACCCATGAGTTTTCGTCGTAAAAAATTTACAATAACAAGTTCCAATCAAAATAAAAGTCAAATATCAATCTCTCAATACAAATTATCCATATATAAAACACCATTCTAGAAAATTAAAGCAAATCACAAATTAACCATAATTGTCCAACACCAATCTAGAAAACTCAAGAAAATTTCAAGCAAATAACAAATTATCCATAAATAACATGATTAATTGTAAGCTTGTTCCTTTCATTTAAGTTTCTTCACTCTCCACTCGATAACATCAACTTCATTCTACACAGTTAGAAAAAAAAAATAGATATGTCTCCACAAACATAAATAAGATGAGTTGTTTAGAATATTAAATATACTGGGAAATTAACTATACGAGTGTGGGCGAGTACCCATGGGGCGGATTTACCTAAACCCAAACCCAATCCGATGAATAGTGAACGAGTTTAAACCCAAACCCGACCCAAAATCCATCAACACGAATTTTACCCGCGTTGAACGGATTGGACCGGGTAGGGTACCCGTCGATTCGAATTTTGTTATCCTCCCTATCTCCCATAGTCCCACTACAAAACACTTTACCCTCCTTGTTTACACTATTCCATTTGGAACCTTCCTTCCTTCCTTTGCCATTTTCAGATAATTGTTCCTTCCTTCCCCATCATCCCCCATCATTGAGCTCGAATCGATTACTTTAATCCATTGTCACCTCCACAATATTATAACATAAACACACCACCTGCTTGAAACGCATAACATGTGTGGAAAAACCAGAAGCTTCCCAGTTCCCAGGAAACACAGAGAGAGCATCACCTGCAAATATATATGAACCCCAAGAACTCTGCATTGCACCTAATTTCAACAGCTCTCCCCTTCCATCTCTCAAAATCTTCCTCCCACAAAATTACCCAACAAATCAATGTACCCACATAACAACAATCTACACGGCGCGACCACCTGGGACTCCGATTTGACCCTGGTTGACTGGATGTTTCACCAGCCGGAGACAACCCCGCCGGCCAGCTCCGCCTTCCATCCGCTGCAGCCGGAAAACGGCTGGGGCGAGCTGCCGCTGAAGCCGGAGACCAGCGCCGAGGACACGATCATCTACGGCGCGCTGAGCGAAGCCGCTCAATTCGGCTGGAGCTGGACTAGTTCCCCCTCCCCGCCAAACGCCGTCGTAAAAGAGGAAACGGAGGTCGTTTCGGTTCCCACGGCAGCCAACAACAACAACAGCGACCGCGAAACGGCGCCGTTTAAGAAGAGGGAGAAGAAAATGCTGTACAGAGGGGTGAGGCGGCGGCCGTGGGGGAAGTACGCGGCGGAGATTAGGGATCCGAACAAGAACGGCGCCAGGCTGTGGCTCGGGACCTACGACGCGCCCGAGGGAGCGGCGCTGGCGTACGATCGGGCGGCGTACCGGATTCGCGGCGCCAAGGCGAAGCTCAATTTCCCGCACCTGGTTGGGACCAGTGGGTGGGAGCTGGGTCGGGTGGTGGCCGGATCTGGGTCGGGTAAGCGGCGGGTGGGAGCTGCTGATTCGGAGGTGGAAACGACGACGCCGTCGGAGGAGGTGGGGAGTGAAGGGTACGGGATGCCGGCGGCGGCGGCGGCGGCGGCGGGGGTGGCGAGTAGTCGGACGATTGAGTTCGGCGGGAGGAGTGACGATTTCTCGGTTTTGATGGGTTCCTGGATGGTTAACAGCCAGAGTTTTGTTGATTAGGATTTTGTGGTTTGTTATATTGATGTTTTTGCGTTTGCAATTTTTACTTTTGACGGGTTTAAGAGTGTTGTATTAGAAGCAATGTACACTATTTTTCTTTGCATCGCAATCGAATTATTATAGACTATTTATAGTTATACACTTTTTAGTAACAATTCCCGAGCTCTCACGACGGGATGTGTGCTAATATGAAGACTATGCGTATGGTCTTTCTCTTCATGTTTATGGTCGTGCCATTTTGATTATTTTTAATGATGTGCGCGCGATGGTTGTGGTGGAGGTCGAGCTGCGTACAAACTACTAACTATCTTGCAGTCTTTCCTCCGTGCAATGGAGAGCCCGGCCCACTATGACGACTTTCAACTCTGCTCCAGTAATTTGAGCAAGTTTCAAGGTTGTCGGCGAAGGTATCATGAATGTACCAAATTGGATCTCTGGTTAAACATTCGGCAACCGACTTACCATCCGACGAGATCTTATGAAGCCATTCACGTTAATCATCATCCATCATGCCCTTGGTGGAGTATACAGGCTTGTCGATAGTTATCGAACCAGGCTAAAAGACGGATGGCCAAATGAGATATCGAATGCACACATGTATGGCGAGAGCGTGGCGCACTTGGATGTGTGCCAATATGAAGATTATGTGTATGACCTTTTCTTCATGTTTATGGTTGTGTCATTTTGATTATTTTTAATGATGTCGCGATGGTTGTGGTGGAGGTTCAGGTGCATATGGACTAGGGGTGGCAATTCGGTTGTCGGTTAGCGGCTAACCGGTCGGTTCAACCGATAACCATCGGTTAGCGGCTAACCGAAAACCGACGAAATATAACCTCGGTCGGTGGTCGGCAAGGAAGGGTGACTGTTCAACTAGCCGAGTAACCGGTGACAATTAACCACGGCTAACCGAGCTAAACCCAACCATTGCCAAACGACACCGTTCTAGCCCAGTTTACACAATCCCCCCACAAAAATCGAAACATAATAGCTAACCCTAATATCACTTCTCTGCCTCTCCTCCACCCTCCAAAACCATCACTTCCCTTCGACTTTGCCTCTCCTCCACCCTCCAAAACCATTCGTTCCGCCGTCGTCTCCCGTCCCCCGACCCGGTCACTCCGCCCGTAGGGATGGCAAAAATATCCGTAACCGTGGATATCCGCCCGAATCCGGCCTAGTCGGGTAGGGTAAAACCCGAACCCGAAGGACATTTAGTGGGTACGGGTAAAACCCGAACCCGAATATTGCGGGTAATGGGTGGGCATGGATATCTCACTATCCGACCCGAACCCGCCCGATTATACACATGCATATGTATTTTGTCTAGAAATAATCATTATTTTTCTCTAACATATTTTATATTTAGCATATAAATATAACATTTTCATGAAATTGTGTTGTTTTAGTTAATTTTCTTCATCTTAGTGAATTCTTGTCGTACTTTTCTCTTACTTAATATAAGAATACGTGTGAATGTTAACATATTGGTTGGAGTTATGAAGAGAAATTAATATACATGGATAACCGTGGATACCCGAAACCCAAACGGGTATGGACATGGTTTTGATTTTCTACCCGTTTCATATGTGGGTATGGGTATGGGTAAAACCCGAAGTACTTTGGGTAGGGTAACGGATATGCACTATCCGCCCCCGACCCGATCCATTGCCATCCCTATCCGCCCGTCCTCTCCTTCCGACGAACCCGCCACTCCGCCCTTCCTCTCTTCCACTCGCCTCCGCAACCACGGATCTCCAGTCCGCCGATCCTCTGCTCTGCCGTTCGCCCCCTTCCTCTTCCTTTCCTTGCCGCAACCCCAAGAACAAAAACCCAAAAACTAAAAAACCCAGGTGGCTATGTAGGAGGGAAGAAGTCAGATCTCTTCGATCTGGTCTAGAGATGCAGCCATGCAGGGACCGGGACGAAGAAGGGGGGATCTGGATTCTGGATCTACGGATTGGTGGGTGCGGCGGGAGGATTATTGACCAGTGGAGGGAAGATAGGTCGGAGGAGATGAAGAGTCGCCGCCGTCCTTCCTCTTCGCGAGTCGTCGTCCTTCCTCCTTCTCCGACTTTTTGTTTGCGGCGGCGAGATTGGTGGGTGGCTGGGTGCGATACTGCGACGGGAGGAGAGTGGAGAGATGAGGAGACGAGGAGAGATGACGGGAGGAGAGTCGAGAGATGAGGAGAGATGAAGAGTCTCACTGTCTCTATCTATCTCCATTTTCTTTTTTGGTTTTTAGTTTTTGTAGATTTTCATGTAATTAAATAATAAATTAATGATTATAATTAATAATTTTTTTCGGATAGTCAATTAACCGTGGTTTAACCGTTAACCGGTCGGTCGGTTTGCGGCAAACCAAAGCATGCTAGGCGGTCGGTGGCCGGTGACTGTCAGCGTGGTCTCGGTTTAACCGGTAACCTAGAAATCGATTTTCAGTTAAACCGAAATCGACTGACAGCCCTAATATGGACTATCTTGCAGTCTTTCCTCCATGCAATGGAGAGCTCGACTCACTATGACCACTTTTAACTTTGCTCCGGTAATTGACGAAGGTATCATGATAATGCCTAATTGGATCTCTGATTAAACCTCCGACAACCGACTTACCTCCCGACGAGATATCGTGTAGCCATCCGTATTAATCATCATTCATCATGACCTTGGTGGAGTATACTGGCTTGTCGATAGTTATTGAACCAGACTAAAAGACGGATGGCCGAATGGGGATATCAATTGCACACATGTATGGGGAGGGCGGGCCGGGCTTGGGCGGAGGTTGTGTTGGTACCCAGACCTGACCGAGTCCGCGAGTTGGTTAGGCCAAGATCTAGGGGTGTTCAAGTGGTTACCATGGTAATTATCAAACTAAATAAGTCTAAATTCTATTAATCATGGAATAAAATATCATAACCAAACCGTCCAAACTAATACAACCACCAAATTAACCAACCTAAAGTTTAATCGGTTTTAGTAACAATTCCCGAGCTCTCACGACTGGATGTGTGCTAATATAAAGACTATGCGTATGGTCTTTCTCTTCATGTTTATGGTCGTGCCATTTTGATTATTTTTAATGATGTGCGCGCGATGGTTGTGGTGGAGGTCGAGTTGCGTACAAACTATCTTGCAGTCTTTCCTCCGTGCAATGGAGAGCCCGACCCACTATGACGGCTTTCAACTTTGCTCCAGTGATTTGAGCAAGTTTCAAGGTTGTTGGCGAAGGTATCGTGAATGTGCCAAATTTGATTTCTAATTAAACATCCGGCAACCGACTTACCATCCGACGAGATATTATGGAGCCATTCACGTTAATCATCATCCATCATGCCCTTGGTGGAGTATACGGGCTTGTCGATAGTTATCGAACCAGGCTAAAAGAAGGATGGCCGAATGGGAATTTCGATTGCACACATGTATGGCGAGGGTGGGGCGCACTTGGGCGGAGGTTGCATTGGTACCCAGACCTGACCCGAGTCCGCGAGTTGATTGGGTCAAAATCTAGGGTGTTCAAATGGTTATCATGGTAATTATCAAACCAAATAAGCCTAATTTCTATTAATCATAGAGTAAAATATCATAACCAAACCGTCCAAACTAATACAACCACCAAATTAACCAACATAAAGTTTAATCGGTTTGGTTAATTGTTTAACTAGATTAACCAACATTACATCACATTCTCATCAAGTGAGAAAAATTCCGGTTAATGCATCAATTCATAATATATGAATTAAATAAACATAAAAATCAACACATAATTATAGTTAATCTTTAACATAAATATATACAACTAATACAATTATCTAAATTCAATAAAAGTATTCACCTAAAAAAAATATATGTCAATGGTATGAGGTTAATGAATTGTTGTGTTTTTATGAATTAACTTAGACTCTTAGCAATTATCATAGATTGAAAAAAGCTTTACTTTGTAGTTTTCATCTAATATAATGTATGATTTTTATCCACATTAGGCGTATATATGTTGTGACGATCTATGTTATACAAATACAAATATACAACATAGGAACAATATTGAGATTTATTTTTCACGAGTTTAAAAGGAAGAACGTTTGGTTGTTGAGTTGTTATGCAGATCAAAGTATTATGTGTAGATAATATATATATTGGATAGATAGCTAATTAGTTAACTGGTTAATTTGGTTTCATTGGATAGGAGCGTCTAAAAACCAAACCAAACCACCTAAATCGAAAAGCTAAAAAATTTAACCAAACCAAATAAATTATACAAATTATTGAAATACTACCTATTAAAACAATTACCACGATAATCACTATGTTTGAACACCCGTACCAATACCCCCACTTCGTCAAGGAACGAACTAGCACTGACACGCCCAAAACGAGTTGGGCTGGACGCCTGGCCCAGTACTGTCATCCCTACTCTCGGTCTCTTCTTCCATATGGGCCGGATCTTATATTCGTAGGAAGAGCCTTCAAATAAAACGTTCACCACAGGGCCGGGCCGAACCGAATCCGAATCCGAATCCGAATCCGAATCCGATAGGAAAGCGGCAACAACCTCCCTATAAATAGATCCTTTTGTTCTGAAAAGTGAACTGTAAAAGAAAAAGCTTCGATAAGAGGATCTTTGGCGGGAGTCGACGAATTGCTTGCTTGCTTGCTTGCCACCGGTAGGTATTCCTCAATGGTTTCTTTGATTGATTTCAGCGTGCTAAGTAATTAGAGCGAGGGAGAATCGAATGAATGAATGAACGTCGATTGTTTAGGGTTTCTCAGAAATCGTAGGTGGTTGATTCCCTGCGTTTGAAATTGCATGATGATTTCGAAGTTTGTTGGTCGCTTGCTTGGACTTGTAAGCTGTTTCTGTCAATGTCGGGTTGTTTAGGGTTTCTCAGAAATCGTAGGTGTTTGATTCCTTGCGTTTGAAATTGCAATGACGATTGCAAATTTTGTTGGTTGCTTGCTTGGACTTGTAAACTGTTCCTGTCAATGTCGGTTGTTTAGGGTTTCTTTCAGAAATCGTAGGTGTTTAATTCCCTGCATTTGAAATTGCAATGACGATTGCAAAGTTTATTGGTCGCTTGCTTGGACTTGTAAACTGTTTTTTTGTCTCTAATAACTGCTTCCGATCTCTGATGCATACCACCTGCTTGAGATCTATCTGCGTTCGCGAGAGCGGATGCTGGTCTAGTTTTGCCTAATTCGATTTCGATTAAGTTAATTCGTATTCGGGTTCTTGTTGGCGTCTTCATTTTGATTGATTCATAGGTTCAACCTGGCAGATAGCTACTTGCTTACCTGCCTCCTCTGTTGTTGCCTTCACATTGCTCTTTGATGCGTGATGACAGCATCTTGGGCCGAGCCCATTAATATTAATATTATTATTATTGTTGTTTTATTATTATTATTTGATGGGATATTCGGTTATTATTTGGGTTATTCGTATTAGTTTGGGTCTAGGATTATTATTACATATCTTGTTTAGGAAGTATTCGTTTACTTGTTGCTTTGGGTTTGGGTTTCCTTGTCTTAAGAGGAAAGGGGTTTGTAGGATTAGCCCTATAAATATGTACCTTTGCTCTTCGTTTTATTAATTCGATGAATAAAGTATTAGTAGTTAGTAGAGAAAAGTAGATCTTTTATCGTGTTTTCTAGTTCTTTCGCTAAATCGCCCGAGATCACCGGTGCGTGAAATCCCGTTCCGCATCACTCTTTCAGAAAGACTTACCAGTCTTGTTATCAACTGCTTGCTATCTCTCTGTAAATGTAGGTGCCTGCTTGCTGCTACTACCACCATGGAGGTTGGATCTCAAGAAGAAAAGCCTCGGAGGTGGGGGCCCGAGGGCCCCTATTGGGAACACGTAATGCAGATCTACAATGTGATGGACGTCAGATATAAAAGTTGGACGGCGGAAGACCTCGAGGAAGCATCGGGCCTCCCAGCCGCGGAGGTCGAGAGGTGCATCAAGGGGCTTCTGGAAATCGAGGAGATCGTGGAGGTGAAGAACAACCCTGACTACGAGCCACGGGGGGGTACACAGTACATGAATGCCTATTTCGCCGAGGAGGAGTTCAATCCGTTCTTTGAGTTTTGGAGGAAGCATTGTTTGGGGATCATAGACAGCCAGGAGGTGGTTTCTCTGGGGAGGATTACGCACCTGCTGCGGGTTAGCGCGAGTGCCGGGCTCTCGCTCCAGATGCCCGAACAGAGCGTGAAAGAGCTGTTGATTGATCCTCTGGTTCTCAGGAATGGAGTGATTGAAGTGGTGAGCAATGGGATGGGGGAGTTTGCTTCCGTACCTGCGGGCCAACTTTGTTATAAGCGTCCTGCTTAATTGCTAGGCGCTGCAGCTGTTTTCCTCTCTATTTTACTTGCAAAAAAAAAAAAAAATTGCGTATTCATCAATTTTTTTTATATTTTGTTTGTGAAGTCAAAGGTTTTGATCATACAGTCGTACAGAAGAAATAAGAAAAGCGTGCGGTATAGTCGATTAATTGTCGAATTCCCGATGATAGATAGGCTTATTCATCTATTTTCTTTCTTTCTCATCCGCTCTTTTTTTTTTTCTTATATGACAAGTGTTAGTGCCATTTTACTTTCTAAAACTCTCTTCTTCTTTTTCTTCATTTCTTTAAATCACTTTCTTTTATCTTTTTGCCCATTTAAGTGAAATTCCTAACCTGTCCTCATGGTTAATCCAACTGCTAGAGGTCAGTCAGACTCAGAGGGAGGAGCAGAACGTCACATTTGTTATTTTTATTTTATTCACAAATTTCAACTCCGACACTCTGTAATCTCTCTCATTCAAGGTTGTCAAACCGGTTTATACCGTTGTGCCGGTTTGGCAAGTGGAATGGTACGACCGGTGGTATAACCAGTTTGTGCCGGTTTAAAAAAATGTGAAAACAATTAATATCCAATGTATTTAAACATATTTGTGGACAATTGAGTTACAATCCAACAAATATCATCAGCTTTTAACTATTACATTCATAAAATGAATAATAAATTAATTTTTGTATTCATTAAATTCATTAAAATGATGTCATTTTACTTAAAGTACGTAACTCGATCATACCGGTCATAGCGGTGGTGTCATGCCGGTTTCATGACCGGTACAGGTTGAACCAGGTTCAACCGGGTGGTATACCACCGGCATGACAACCATGCTCTCTGTACATCTCTCCTGGATTTTGTTCCTCTTTTGAACGTGGATTCTCTTGTTGGTATTTTTTTTGCAATTTAGTTTTTGATTTTAGCGGGGTTCTTGCTTGGTTGCACCTCCCTGCATTAAAACTGCGGGATCCAGTCTCCAGACACAGGGGAAGAAACATGTCAAACTAGTATATTACTATATTTATGAGGCGACCTTGTGCTTCACAGCTTCAGCCTTTTACCATAAGTCAGTTTTCTCTCCCTCCTTCCCCTCTCCTTGTTTTGGTAAATGGCAATGGCGTCGACCAAGATGAAGAAGAGGCCCAGGCTGCTACCCCCTTCTTCCTCTACCTCCTCCCTCTCTTCTTCTTCTTCCTCGTCCACTGTAACAGCTGCTGCTGCTGCAGCTTCTTCTTCTTCTTCGCCTTGCTCTCCTTCTTCTTCTTGTTGCTCTTCTTCGTCCCCGTGCTTCTCCTGTGGCACTACAGCCATCAATCTTGATAATACCCATGAATCGAGATTGGAATTGGAAGCCCAGAAGCAGCAGCAGCAGCAGCAGGAATTAGTACCCAAATCCAGACGCCGGAGAAGGACCCGTTCCAGTAGTAAAGCCGATGATCGTCAAATTAAGAAGGAAAGTAACGATGACGACAAGAGAGGAACCCTTCCCCTGCCACCTCCTCATCCCCCAGGGAGGAGAAGCTCTGTTTTCAGGGGAGTCACCAGGTAATTTCATCACACCACGACTTCCCCCAATTTGGGGAAGAAAACAAAAAAAAAAACTGATTACCCAATTTACCCACACCATGAATTGGGTTTGCAATTCTGGGGATTCTTCCAATTATGGGTTTCTGAGATTTGACTCCCTGTCTGCTTTTTTTGGAATGGGATTGATGAATGAATGTGCAGGCATAGATGGACGGGGAGATTCGAGGCGCATCTATGGGATAAGAGCTCATGGAACAACAAGCACAGCAAGAAAGGACGCCAAGGTCCGTCTTCTTCCTGTTTGTCTTCTTCCTCCTTTTGGGGTTTTTGGGTTTTTTGAATTAGTAATTTGGGGATTAATTATCAATTCCGAGGAGATCTGGTCGCTAATCCTTGTTTAATTTTTATTGCCTCTCTTTTCATCCCCTAACCAGAACAGAGCATAAGATTAATTGGGGTTAATTACTTAATTAATCACTTGATTAGCATGATTCTGACTAATTTGTTGTTTTCTTCCTCTCTTCCTCTCTGTACATCCAATCATCCGACTGTGAAAATGGGCAATGTTCAGTTTATCTGGGTAAGTGCCAACTCTGTCAGTAAAATAGTAATTACTCCCTTTCCCATTCCAATTTTTCCGTCCCCAATTTCTGAAATTGAATTTGCAATTTGACGACGGCAGGGGCGTACGACGACGAGGAGGCGGCTGCCCGGACCTACGATCTGGCGGCGTTGAAGTACTGGGGTCCGGCGACCACCCTGAATTTCCCGGCGGAAGGGTATTACTCGAAGGAGGTGGAGGAGATGGAGAAGGTGAGCAGGGAAGAGTACCTGGCGTCGCTCCGGCGCCGGAGCTCCGGCTTCTCGAGAGGCGTTTCGAAGTACCGGGGAGTGGCGCGGCACCACCACAACGGCCGGTGGGAAGCGCGGATCGGGCGGGTTTTGGGGAACAAGTACCTCTACCTCGGCACTTTCGGTGAGTTAAATTAATTGCTCTTCCAATTTCCAATTTCGTTTTCGTCGTTCTCGTATTTTTATGAAAGTCAAATATGGAGGAATGGAGATCTTAACTGAAACCAATATTAGGGTGGTGGTGGTGGTAGTAGTAGGAGGGAGGGGATGTGCAACGAGTTGGTTCGTATTAGACTGTACGTCGGATCAAAATTGACGGGTGGACGGAATCGTATCGAACCGAATATAATATGGTTCGGTGTTCGTGGTTCCATTAATTTTTATAAATGCATAAGGAAAATGGGTAGACTTGACATTTGAATCGAACCAAACAGATTCTAAAGCAGATCGAAAAATGTACTGTGAAGAAGATGTCTTTCACTATTGGATTGAGTTTCTTCTTCCGAGTTTGGTCGGACGGGGCCAGTTGCACACCCCTAATGGTAGGATAGAATCTCCTCCTCCAACTGTGACCATCTTTACGGCTTTGGACCTATCCCGTTTTTGGTTTAGCTATTGAGAAAAATCATGGTGATTTTTCGGGAGGTCATCCATCTTTCTTTGGGCTGGTCTACAATGTGTATGTTTGACTTCGGAGTAATTGTCTAACGATAACTCATTCATTTCACCATTAAAAAGTGTGTGATTAGTTGAGTTTGGAATGTGACTAAACTATTATATTTCTTGCTTGTTAGTCAAAATTAGTCAAATAGGGTGAAGGGAAATGAAATATAAGTGAACACATTTACGTTGGGTTTTTTATTTTTATTTTTATCGTGGGCCTGGAAATGGGCCAGGTCCACCGAGGGATCCGAACAAAAAGACGAAAGCATTTAACCTGATTTGGTTCAGCTTTGCCTACTCACTCACACGACTTCCCCCTTATCTTCCCTCTCTCTATCACCCTCTCTATCAGATCCAAATCCAAATCCCACAACTAATCACTTTATATCTTCAATCGAATCTCAAATCTCTGTCTTTCCTGAGGTCACGTGACCCCTAATTGTTCTTTTCTTTGGCCTTGGCTCACTTTCATTTGTCACATTCTCGGTGATTTTCTAATAAACAAACAAATAAAGAGATTTGGGCCAAATCTCTAATTATAAATATCCGAGTTTTCAAGTTAGTGTGCTATACGGATCGGATAGAGACTCATAATATGAGTTAATCTCTTCATAATCACTTGGCTTAACTGTAATTAACTATCTTCACTTGTCTTCTATGTGTGTGGTGTAGACACTCAGGAAGAAGCTGCAGAGGCGTACGACTTGGCGGCACTCGAATACAGAGGAGCCAACGCCGTCACCAACTTCGACGCCGCCATTTACCTCGACCGCCTCAGGTCCAAGGGACTCAACGTCGACCAATTCATCCATCCATCTCCATCTCCATCTCCATCTGCAGCGGCAGGGTCAGAGGCACCCGCAGCCGGAGAAGTACAACCATCCCCTGCTTCTTCATCCCCACTACCTCCCCTGCCGCCGCCGGAGATGCTCCCGTCGTGTGCCGCCACCGCGGGCAACGACGACGACAGCATGATAGCGATAGAGGAGCTTCCGGATTTGGATCGCTGCGACGTGCTGCTGAGCGGATGGAGCTTGACGGCCGGGTGTGCAGGGTTGCTGCCGGAGTTGTTTGACGACGGGGGAGGGTTCCGGTTGGAGGACATTGATTACTTGGTGTTCGACGGCGGAATTTGTGGATGACCGTGTCAGGGTCGAGTTCTTCTAGTTCTACCACCACAACGTCCTTGTTTGTACCCCCCCATGAACCATCCATCCAATTTCTCGACTTCCAGATTTTCCACAATAGCGCGCGAGGACTCGCAAAAAAACCCCGAGCGTGTGACCACGAGTCTCGTTCAATTTTGAACAACCTTAAAAAACGATGTTTGGATCTCTGCTAACATAGGTTTTGTTTGTAGTATCGGTTAAATCGTGTATTTTTGGACATTGTATTTTTACAAGTGTTTGATTGCACTGCTCTAACCCTAACTACATATTTCCATATCGTACCCCGAAGTCGTCGATCTCATGGTAAGTTCTACTTTTGTGAGATTTCATACGAGAACGATCTTAACCCGTGCATATGAAGCAAGTATTTCAAATATTGTAGTCTAAGTACCAAAAAAGTTTAGATCTTACTAGTTACAAACAAATTGAATTGTAGATAATATAAAATTGATAAGTGAGACCACATTGCAAATGGATAAGATCGATGGGAATGAATGACTGTATATTCCTCTCTATGTCAATCCCTTTCAAACAACCTGCAGAAACAAAAACGAAGATCAAACCAACGTATTAACCTGACCATACTAAATCGAAGATAATGTGATCTAGTCCTTCATTCTATGAATAAATCTTATAAATACTGAAGAAAACTGAAGTGAATTAAAAGTTGGGCGGATCAAATCAAACCGAGTGCAATATTGATCGATTTCTTAATCCTAAAGTGTCTTTACCGCTTACCAAAACGAGAAACCGGACCGTCACACCACACATCCCTTTTGGCTACGGTCTTGTATTGACATCAACTTAGGGGTTGTTTGGAGGTTGTGATTTCAAGAGATGTATTTAGCCAATGCATGTAATGTCAAGATTAAGTCGTTTTTTTTTTAAATTTGTGACAGAATAATAATATATTATCTTCTTTCTGGGGCCACCAACAATCACTCAAAATGAGTGATTATCAATCTCTACCAAATGGTGAGATTGTGACCAAGGAATTGTCTTGTCTACCCTCTAATTTTTCATTAATAACAAAGCACAATTTAAACCTCCAAACAATGTATTTTTTAAATTCATGCATTTCGTCAACAAATCAAATTACAAAATACAAATTGATTAAATACTTCGATTTGGAGAATCTCAACTGACAACATCAAGAGCAAATCTCGAGATCCCGGTTTCTACCTCCCAGTCATGGGCTTACTCGGACTACTACCCCTGGACCACACAAATACATACTACGTATCATGGGCTATCAAAAGAATAGAACTGGGCTAATGGCCACTAATTAGTAATTACTTAGTTAGTCCAAGCTTCGTATCGTACATGAAGCTGACATAAAGAATATCCAAACAAAGGTTTATGAAACCGTCCGTACCGGAGATCATATCAGAAAAGTCTATGATAGGATATTTTATAGTAAAACTGTGATTTAATCGTGGTCGAAGCATTTCCTACCACTAAAATTGCTTACCATTTTGGGTCCGTTGTCTGATATTTTCGGTCGGGCCGGCCGATAAGATAGAATTTTTCTAAACATTGATCCAAACACTTGTATGATATGTACATACTGAGTTTACAAATAAATAAGGGACTCACCTCTAACAAGAAAAGAAATTATCGATTTTACGACTTTACGTGATCTTAGTTAATAGTGCACGATTCGATGAACAGCATCCAAGTGTCGCATACACAGAGCCAACATATATATATAATGGATCGATCTCCTTCCAATGTAACTCCATGTTATGTTTCCATATAGATGTGGAACATGGAACATATAGTGAGCTCAAGAAGACTGACAATGTTTAAGAAGTTGAACCAAACCCACTAACCAAAATGCTCATGAAGAACCAAGAAGAATGACAAAATTGAACCAAACCCACCGCCATCCCTAACTAGTTCCCATTGACCACCGCCACATCTCCTAAACCGACAGTACCGTGCCCACCGCTCTTTCCCTCCTCCTCCTCCTCCCATTCCGCTTCATTCAATTATTTGCCCACGCGCTTTCCCTCATCAACTTCCTACCTAGTTACATGTGGGGACGGATGGGTTCGGTTTAGAATCAGATCGAATCAGGATCAGGTTGAATAGAAAATTAAAGAAATTTGCAAAATTAAAAGCGACTAAAGCTAGTTGGATGTCAATAACCCGAGTTATCGAAAAAAAGTTTGCATATGTTTGAACACCATGTACTTAACATAATAGACGAGATGATCGGGGATTCGAACATAAGAATTTGATTTTGGTCGTCTGAGAAAATTCTGATACTATATTAAGAACCAATCGATCCCAACAGCTCGAGTTGTTGGGGGAACGCGTATTCAACTATGATTCGACTCGCGATTAGTGGGCGGATCTAGGGCTGGGCCAACCCTCTTCTGGATCCAAAGTTAGTATAGTGTTATAAAATTTTCGATTTAGGTATTCAGCCCAGTGTTATTTAATATTCAGTCCAATTTTATTTGATAATAGGATTTTCTGTAGTTAGGAAAACGGTCCAGATGAATATATCCTAAACATCTTTCATTGAAATTAAAAAAATCTAAACGAAAGCTAGATTTAGATTGCGTTGGTTGAGTGGTGCACTAGATTCTTTTATTTATGGTTTTGCTAAATTAAATTATCTTGTAATGAAAACTATATTTATTATATATTTTTATTTACGGTATATAATATTTTATTCAAATGCGACCCAGTGCCCTAATATGTCCGGGATCCGTCGCTGCTCGCGATTGGGTCCAAATTTAACTATGATCGACCTTTTTCTTCACACTCCGATATAATTTGCCGGATAAAAAATGAATCTAAATATATTCAATTCATTTCCACCGAGATATCGATTCAATACAGTTCGATCCGATCCGAACCGAACCAAAATCTTTGCCCAACCCCCCGATGCCTAACTGCCATGCACCTCCCATATACTATTACATATACACACACACACACCCTCTCAATATTTACTATCGACTCCCATATCATTATCACCAAATATCCCATGGATTCTCCTCTCCCATCCTTCTTCTCCCTCCTCGCCACCCTCCTCCTCCTCATCTCCGCCGCCACCTCCCAACCCCCGCCGCCGCCGCCCACCGCGGCCTCCGCATGCAAATCCTCGCCCTACCCAAAGCTCTGCCGCTCCATCCTCGCCCCGGCATTCGGCTCCTCCTCCTCCAACACCTCAGACTCCTACTCCCTCGGCAAATTCTCCGTCAAGCAGTGCACCAAGCAGGCCGCCAGGCTGTCCAAGCTCCTCCGCAACTTCCTCGCCACCCCACGCGCCTCCCGCCTCCAGGCCGGCGCCCTGGAGGACTGCCTGGAGCTGGCCGACACCAACGTCGACTTCCTCGAGTCCGTCTCGTCGGAGCTCCAGCTTGCGGCGGGGGACCAGAGCTCCGAGGAGCTCGTTGAGCAGGTCACCACTCTCCTCAGCGCTGCGGTTACCAACCAGCAGACGTGCGTCGACGGGTTGGTGCAGAGCAGCGGCGGAGTACTGCTCGGAGGGCCGGCCCTGAGCTTGCCGATGGTGAACGCGACGCAGCTGTACAGCGTGGCGCTTGGGCTCGTGACGAGAGCCATGGACCGCAAATCGAAAAAGAATAATAAGAAGAAGAGGATTGGTGGTGGTGGTCCTGCTGGTTGGCGCGGATTGCGCGAGCCGCTTCCGAATCTTATCAAGGTAAACCCAACCCACACGCACCTTACTACTAAATCATCACGAGTTAAAGTCGAGTTGAATTCTAATCACCTAATCGAAAATATTTTGTTTATCAATATATTTGATTGTGTTTTGACTCGAATCCCGATTTACTAATGACCCGACGAGCGGACTCGTTAATCAACCTTCCATTCGTCATATTATTTTAGTCCTTATGTTTGAACGGCACGTACGTATCATGTTATTTAATAGTATTAGTGTCTTAACAATCTACACTATTCGGAAAAAAATTCGCTTTTATATTGCTCGAGTATTCGAATTTTTTTTTAAACATATAATATGTAGTGAGATATATAATCTAACAAACTTATGAATTATCAATAAGTCCACTAATCGGTTCGCGCTCATAAACCTCTAATCGGGCTGGCTCGTTAGCAATGGAACGAGCCATAACTCGTGATCTCGAAACAAGCTAAGTACTCACAAGTTGAGATCTAAACCAGCAAAATCGAGCTGATTCACGATCTTTACAAGCAGAATATATAGGTCGAATGTCGACAGCGCAGCTCGGCTCATTTGCTGCTACTATATTTTGTATTCCCGTGTTGATTGGGAGGTGTGAGAGCAAGTTGCATTAAGTTGTACGTTAGCTAGATCCGACATGCAAGTACGGCCAGCCAGCCAGCTAGCTTGCCTGTAAATTTCTATTAGGGAGTCAACCCTATTGAAGGCGAAATAGAGTCAACAAAAGCGACGCCATTACGCCACCCCACATGGCTACAACGTAACTATCAAAGAAAAACATGGGTCGTCTTATATTTATATTCTAATTATTTGACTTACCAAATCGATCTTATACCGAAAAATTGAGCTATACGATAGTTTTCGTTGAAATCGAGATTTAACACAATTCAAACCATTTTATGTCGTCACATATTACATATATCAATTTAACATTCGTTAAAGTATTTTTTTTCTAATCTGACCAAGCATACAATACGATTTCACAAACGCTACTATAGATCAACCTAGAAGAATGACCGACGTACGGTTTTTGACGGTATATTTTGTCACATGCATGCAGGATCTAAGGAAAAGTCCGAGCTGCCGGAAACCGGGCGGCTGCGGCAGGGTAGAGCGCAATCTCGACGAGGAAAGCTCCGGCAGCGGCGGCGTGATGGTGAGGGATTACGTCATCGTCAGCCCTTCCGGCGAGGACAATTTCACGACCATCACCGAAGCCATCGCCGCCGCCCCCAACAACACCAAGCCGGAAGACGGTTACTTCGTGATCTACGCGAAAGAAGGCATCTACGAGGAGTACGTCGTCGTGGCCAAGAACAAGAAGAACATCATGCTCATCGGCGACGGGATCAACCGCACCGTCGTCACCGGTAACCACAGCGTCGTCGACGGCTGGACCACCTTCAATTCCTCCAGCTTCGGTAAAGTCATTTATTGCGCTTTTTTGTGTTAATTCACGTAGTTTATATTTTATACACGTTATATTGGTGTGAATTTCGAAAATTGAAAAATAGTATTAGAAAGTTATACCGGAAAAAGTCTTACGTAGTAGAAGTGTATTTTAAGATGAAAC